AATTTATAGGGATTCTCATAAAAGAAATAAAATTCGCAAAATCAGATTTTATAATCTTTCTAAAATCCTGGATATGTTTCATTAGTTTAGGGGCGAGGGAAGTTCTGTCGAAACAACTTTGGACCATTTTTTTTTTAGATTTGCTTATTACAGGTGGCTCAAAAAATTAATAACTGAACATTTTGCAATTTAATTTTGAATCGACAAAACCAAATCCTTTTAACAAAATATATTTGCTAAAAATTGATGACGTTAGCTCAAAATTTTGCCGAATAAATCCTATCTAAAATGTCCAAAATGTGAAGAGTTCGTACTTGTGATTTATCATTTCATTCATATTTTTTGGAATTGCGACGAAACTCCCGTAGCGGACGGTGACGGCCTGGAATTGCGCCGATAAAGCGTGGGGGAGGCGTGCCTCGGTGCCATGCTTTGGGTCGACTAGTCCCGCTGACAAGAAACACGTCTGGCCAACCTAGGCTTATGAGATCACCTTCCGGAGAGGAAGCACCGGGGTTGCTCTCAAGCCGGAGACACGGATCTCTAAGTGGTCTGGTGAGCGCCCGCGGAAACAAGAAATAAAAAAAAAACAGAGGAAAATTTTAAACAATAATCGGCTTTTTATTTCCTGCCACCAGCTGCACGGCTGAAATAATCTTAAATAATTACAAAACAAACTTTACAAAAAAGAAGGATAAAACGTCCGGGACGATCGTTCCTTTCTGGAAGGCGACTTCCTTCGGAACGGGGACGGTACAGCGACCCGGGAGGGAAGCGCGGTGACGAAACGCGTCGCGTGCTTAACGGTTTCGGCTTCTTGCGGTGACGGTGACTTTTACGTTTTCTCGACCTTGCATGACCCCTACAGTACGAAAAAATAGGTCTCCCGTTTCTGTCTGTCTCTGTGTGTGTTCGTCTGTCTGCCGTCTGTCCAGACTTTTATTAGATAGATAATTTCCGAAACTACTGAACCGATTGTTGTCAAATTTTATATGTGCATTAAGAGTATCATATAAATGGTAAAACGTCAACCAAAATTTGGATAATCATCTCAAGCAACATTTTACCGTCGTCCACTCATAAAAAGCGACAGACGGGGCAATAAAAAGTCTGGACCATCGGCATTGTGATCCGGTTATTGCAATTCGTAGAAAATATCTTTCAGTTTTGTTTCTCTGTTTCACTCTCACATGTAGGTACAATCCCGACAAGCGTTATCGCTATTTGTCTTAAATTACGTGTATTATAATAAGTGATTATCGGTGAAGTCTTTAGTCGCATCTCTGCTTTATTCAAGACAGACGTGATTAAATTGTTTCGTTATTTTATTGATTATAAATCAAGATTCAAGACGACTCACTCCATTTTCCCGAAAATTTGGGAATACGTTCTTGCAAAATTTTATAAAGGATAAATTCATTTGAAACATACCCGTAATACATACGCTTCTTTATATTTATTTTAACGTCACATACATATCTTTATTTAAGCTTCTAAGGGTTGTTATAAAAAAATGAAATTCACAAAATCCAATTTTATAATTTTTCAAAAAAGCTGGATATCTTTTGTTGTACTTTTGTACTTCAGGGGCGAGGGAAGTTTTGTCGAAATAACCTTGCACCAATTGTTTGTGATACAGTCCAATTTTGTATTAAACTTTTTTTTTCTGATAACTATAATCTTGACGTTTTTCTTTGAAAATTAAAGAGTATTTGTAAATGGAAATACTTCCGTAGAAAGAAGAATTACACATAGAATGAAATGATTCACAAACTTTAATTGTTCTACGTGGAAAGCTGCAGCCAGAAGCATAAAATGAAGGCGGAAACAGCTCAACATCGCTGCAATAATTGTCATATAAATAATTTCTAAATTGGACAACTCTGGAAGACATTAAATAGTGTAATTCATGATTTTAAAAAACTGGTCGAAGGTTATTTCAACAAAACTTCCCTCGCCCTTGAAGTGTAATCGGAGTAAAAGCCCATAAATAACAGGCCCGTAACGCAGATTCAAATGGGGCGCGGTGCGGACAGTATGAAATACAAAATACATTTAAAGCAGGTAACCAAAGGGGAAAATATAGATAATCTCAATTTCTAAGTATATGTTTAACTGCGACTGTATATGTTTATACATCAAAAGAATTCCATATATATATATAAGCATCACTACATCACTACGCTCACTTTTTTCACAAAAAACTGGATGTCTAGCGTAAATACTCAGAAGAATTTATTGACAACGAGAGCACTAGTTCCTGGAATGGCTTAATTTTTCGCCTGATAAGAGCACCTATTGTAAACTTTGCATAAATTTTAGCTGTCCCTTTTTAAACTCCACCTTTAAAATCCATGCAAATATAAGCAAACGTGAAAGTAAATGAGTCTGAAAGTAGACGTGCGTCTAATAAGTAAAGAAGTAAAAAATTTTGCAGTATTATGAAAACCGCATTTCTAGGTATGATTTTGTAAAATGTACCTCTCTCATATAAATATAACACTATCATATTGTGATTTACAACAAATTTTGTAACCTCATGAATGCTAATATTGTTCAAATAAACAATAATTATTAAAATAATTTTTAAGGTACCAGTTCTTCGCTTCCTAATCCAAAATGAATTGAATGTGTTGCCGCACTAAATAAGTGTAATTATGGGCAGGTAGATATTTGCATGACCGCGGACGAACGCCCAACCTGGACCGAAGATATACCACGGGACTGAGGTACAATTTAATCCCTCAAGTTGTCAATCTCCAATTTGGGGATTAGATTTCAATCCCTTTAAATGTACTATTTATTATCACAATGTCTTCAGAAAAATGCTAGTAAAATTTTATTACTCGATGTTGTACGACACAGCTAGATTCTCCCTTTCATATTTCCAGGTCCAAGTTTGTTTTGTTTAGTTATTAATTTCTCTAATAGCTTGAAGCTAACCATTATGTTTATGTTCCACAAATGTGGATGAGGAATTCCCGGGGTGTGTAGTCGATAAGCAGTACTGCGGTGTTCCTTGCCCATCCGTTCTTTGCTTATGTTGTCAGATAACTAAAATGGATTTTCCATAGTAATTGTTGACATTCAATTATGGTACAAAAGAAATTGCTTATAATCCTTACCATAAATAAAACTTACCCTAGGACTTCTTATTTTTAGAAGTCAATGGTCGACATCTGACCGCACCCAGCGGTCACAGGTAAAACGGATTTAAGAGACCCTATATTTATGCCACATGTTTCAAATTCCCCAATCATTTTCCTTAAATCAAATTTAATGATCTGTAGAAGAATGTCTATGCCCTGCCGACTTCTTAGTTTGAATTGAAAATTGAACCTAACAATTGACATTTATTTCCAAATTATCAAAATTATCAAGACCAAACAACTTGAGTAATATTAATAAAATAATTGTATTATTGGTTGCATTTTTTAGACGAGGAACTTTCGTTTGAGTATTGTACTTATTGTACTATACTTCAGAGTAGTTCAGAGGCGAGGTAAGTTCTGTCGAAATAACCTTCGACCATGTTTTTAAGTATAGCATGCTTCTTTACCTTTGGTTGAGTAATCCATTCCGTTTTCAAGTTTAACTAGTACAAATTAAAAAAAATGTTCTCAAAAAACTTTTGATATTTTAAAAAGACGATACAGAACTAAAATTTATTGATTCATTCTCACTCAGAAATTCAATGACTTCATCGCAAGGAATAGTAGATCAACTTGAATCGAAAATCATTTCTGAATTTTATTCCTTTATGAACCTTTAGTTCTTTACTCTAGGTATATATCTTTTTCGTAACACGTGGGCCTTGAAAGCGTCACCAACAGTTATGAAAAGAGCCAAATCGACATTACAAATACAAATTAACAAAAATATAGAGTCAGTTATGTTTAAGAACGTTTATGCAAATAGTAAGGATAAAATCAACGGTAACAGAATATATTTTTTCCTTATTGACAAGCTATCATTAAAAAGATTTTATAATGAACGTTGGTTAAATTAGCGTTTTTCGTAATTAATTTTTAATGTTAGCAGATTAATTAAACATACTTATTTCCCTAAAAACTTTAGAAGCAATTTTGGCAGAAAAAATGTATCAAAACATTTTATGCTAGAAATTATAATCTCAAAAAATCAGAACGAATAAGAGCATTGATTGTGAAATATTTATATAATTAGAAAAAGAAATAATTTCATAAAACTATATAATTTAGTAATTACTTTAACTTAAACTGGTAGTTGTATAAGAACGTCAAAAAACGTTAGAGAACTAAAAGGCTTACTTTTTAAAGTCCAAATCTTATAAGCGTTGTGCCGGCTCTATTTGTTTTCGATGAAATGTCAGATATTTGTGGATGATAAATATCCAATATTGCTATATAAACATAAAAATTTGTACCAGCAGATTCATTCAGAAACTATATACAAAAGCAAGATTTTTGAACTGTGATACAACTTCATTAAGTAAGTACATAGTTTCAAAGGAAAAAATGTATTACTAATAGATTAGCAGTACCTATATGGGAAAATGCACAGAGTCGAAATTGTTTTAACGATTTCAACTGTATTTGAAGTAGGAAAAAATTCACAGGTATATGCAATAGTACATATATACTTCTATAATATTGTTGATATCTAAAGTAAGTAAGTAATTAAAAGATATCTTTCTAGTGTCACGTAGTTTTTCGTGGTTTTTCCAACTCTACCGATAATAATAATTTAAAACCCGTGAAATAATATTAACACTGGAATGTCATATATTTCCTCAATTTTTTGTTGTGATAAGGAAAACCGTACAACTAGGTATTTTTTCAATAACACCAAATTCCCAGGCCATACAAATACAAATTTTGTCAATGCCGTGACCCAGATCGTCTCTTCACTTCCATGCCGAACGTGCGTTCAACAATACCGACCAAAACAACAATAAACCAAATATTACATAGAATTTTATGCGATGATTGGTTAAAAGGCGATCGGGATTCCCGGTTTAAAACTCACTGCGTTTGTCCAGCCCTCACTTCCACCGCTACACATCTCATCATTCCGATCCAACCTTCCAGTGGGAAAGAGTCAAATGCGAAGATTTTCGGGAAATGTACTAAGGGTTGATAGTGTATTGTGTCTATCTGTGATTGCATTGCTTTTTCCAAATGTCGCGTGTGGATCTGTGCAGATCGGTGCTCAAACAACAACATCTGAAAGGTAAACACTTAATTTTGTTTTACTTTCATTTATTCCAACGAACATGTCATTTAGTTCGAATTAAGAACATGTATCCTGTCTCTTCATGATCACATTCTGTTGCTCATTTCGTGGTACAAATCCCAAACCACAGGATTCGATGTTAACAAGAAACCGCGCGGTTTCGCCTTTTTAGATCGTCCACTATTAGGAAAATACGGGTGGTTTGGGATTACGTATCTTGTGGATTGTATTTGTAGGTATTTCTTTGAACTTTACACCGACAAATGTTGGGTAAATTTATTTTCTAAGCAAATATTAAGCGATGCTTTGAACTAACCTTGTGATTAATAATTCTCGTAAAAAACCTATTTTCAATGAACGGGTCAAATTATGCCTTCCAGTGATTGTGCTCATTGAAATTTCCTTTAGTACGTAAACTTACCTGAATGGGCACATATGTAGAACGAATATTAAGCGATAAAAGTATAATTGTAAGAATTTAGATTTGCAGAAATTTATAGAAAAACAAATCGTTGTTAAGGGCGGTACTTTTGCTACTATTAATAGGATTATCATTAAACTATTTTGCATAAAAATGTTCAAAATAATTTTCCAAAAGTGTTAAAATAATGTTGCGCGTTCGATTGCCATAATTAGGTTTATGACGGAATTCACCGGTCTTTTATTTCTTTTACAAACTAACCGAAATGCATGGACATCATTTGATTTTGTTGCAAAACCACTATATTGATATAAAAATTTGTAAGTTCAAAAGACAAGGTGATAAAACATTACATTTTATTCTGACGATTTTATATTAATACTGTATGTATTAGTGGTCACAAATATTATATTAATTTATCGTTGTAGTGGTTTCTATACAATCGAAGAATTTTTGAATTCTTATATATGTATCTGTTTACTTGTCCATGTAAAAATCATACCCTATTTGACGGTCACCCAAATCATAGGGAAATAATTTCTGCACAACGTAAGAAATATAAGAACTTAATAAGAATAAATCATACAGGGTACAGTATTTCTAAAGATATTTGGAAACGGAGTTAATCACTTTATGAGTCACGTTAGTCCCTGGTCAACTTTCATTATCCCTGCTATTAAGCTTAATCCCCATAAAAGTACCCGAGTATAATCCGGCGCGCATGCAATGAAGTGCAGCATTCTGACATGGCGCGGGATTTCGAAACATTTTTTATGGTAGGGCGCTGAGAGTGCAATAAAAGTATTTAGCTGTGTTTCCAAATATCTTTAGAAACACTTTATATCCCAATGTTGCAAAATTACGCATTTAATGTAGAATATAGTAACAATTCTTCCAGTCCGTATAAACTTCCCCTATTTAAAAAACATTTAAAAAAGTACATACAATTTCATTGAGTAATAATCAATAGATGTCGGAGTAAATATTCCACTCTCCCCTACGTTTTCTAGTAACGGTGATCATTCTCCTTGCATTGAAGTTTCCAATGAAAGGCAAAAGTTGCTGAATGAGAACCTTTATTGGGACGGGAAGTCCGAAGTCGTCGATCGATTTTTTCCTTAAGTGTGTCAAAACTTAGGAAAAACCTGTATTCATCGCCTTGTTCAAATAACAATGCTTACGCTATCTAATACCTGCATATTTGAAGTATGATAATGGGCACACATAAATTCGTCGATAAAAGACAATGATAAAATATTGCCGTAGTAATTTCCCAGGCGTTATCGCAACATGTGTGTACGCTTTTTTTTTAGTAGAAATTTACCTTTGGATTTTTGACGTAATTTTCTTATCTTTATTATGTGGAACTGCATGGAGGTGTCATCGAAGAAACTTGTTGGCGCCACTTGTATGAATGACACAAACAAGATATGATCACATTTTCATCATATTATTTGTTTTATTATTTATTCTTAATAGAACCCACTTTATTTGGAGTAATTATACATAGATACTATCTTATTTTCTAGAAGATTAATAAAGTTATAATAAATAATATATATAAATATCAAACAATAATAAAAAAATTAAATTTCATTGCATTAGTCGAACCATTCCAAAATTCTAAAAGTAAATTCTCAATAATTAATGACGTAACATGCAAATTAACGAGATCAAAGAAAACTCCAGCAAAACTTTGTGGGATGGTTCAAAGCCGAAAATCAAAGAGCAAAGGTCCATAACAATCCGCAAAAAGGTAAAGCTATACTATCACATCTTTATCACAGATTGTGCAGTTTTTGATTACTTGACAACAGTGATGTTCTGATGCAATAACATGGTAAATAAATTAAGTATTAAATAAATATTCTAGGTTTGCGCTGTTAAAATTTCTTTTATCAGTTGTAATATTGAAACTTCTTTACCACACATAAATTCATATCTGTAATTTATTAAAAAATAACAATATTTACAATAGCAATTTTCGCTGTAAGTTATACTCCCTTCAAATAATTCTTTTTCTTCTGCGTAAATTATGTCTTAATCAAAACTAACGTCAGAGAATCGGTCCAGTACGAACCATAGGTTATCGTTATCTTAAAAAAAAATAAGTGTATAAAAACCAGATATAATAAATTGTTAGCTTATTAATAAAATATTATTAACTAAATTATATGATATTTTTTTCATTCATTCAGCGAGGTTTTCCTCCACTTTAGTTAAAAATAGTTATGACAATTTAATGAATGAATTCTTGTATGCCTACTGAACATGGAATGCCCATTCTAGCAACTGATACCCTTTGGAATAAGCAACCCCTAATTCCCAGAGTTGGTAAAAAAATATTACAATTTATACTTTGAGTGGCAAAAAATCCGGGCACTCTGAAATATTTACACTGCTTCTGTTACTTTCTTAAATTAAATTTAATTCTCTATTTACTTATCTCCTCCTTAGCTATTTTTTACATCCTGTATCAACAGTGAATGTTTTTTTAATAAAATAACAACCACTAGTTGAATTAAGAATTTTTGAAGTGGTTTTGCGAAATATTTCAGGGTGGCCGCTTTTATATGTTTTTTACTTACCGAGCGTAAGCTAAGGAAGTATAGTAATTTTATAACGAGCGTTCAAATAAAAACGACGTCAAGATGGCTTTGTAAATGGGAATTTAGGGCTTAGTGAATGATTAGTTCACATTTCCGAAGCCAACTTGACGTCGTTTTTATTTAAGCGCTCGTTATTTTGCGTTATTTCAACAGTGTGAAAAAACAAGTATAACAATATGCAATATACATTGCTGACAAATATAAAGGTGTCCGATAAAATAATACGATCGAACCCTTCTCGAAATACAGAATACCGAAAATAGAATATATCGCTAAACGCCTCATCACCAAATTTAGTCTTATGTAAATTTCCACCGGTTTTACTCCCCTCTGCTACAAGAAATTTTACCATAAATAGACATTATTCCATACAAGCATTAACACTGTGGACTGTCATTTTCTTACCAACCAAAGAACGACATGAAACATGTTTCTCACGCCTCTCTGGGAAAAAACCACTCCCAACCACAAAAAATTCATAAAAAAATAACACCCAGTTTAAATCGACCACCTTAGTCAGTGTGTTGAAAATTAATTTTTAAAGAATAAAAGGTAAATACTTTCCTTTAAAAACAGGGGTGCGTTAATTGAACTGTGAATTTAAATGTATGTATCAATTTGGATATTTTTTAACACTTCTGCAAAGCCAAACCTGTAATATACCCAGACAGCAATAAAAACACGATCAAAGACGGCCAAGGATTTTCGGAGATTTGTCTTTGATTGATGCATTTTCAAGTCAAGCTTTTAAACTGACGATAATCTGACAAGAGAAAAATCCTATCAAAGACAAATCTTCAAAGATTTATGGCTATCTATGATTATGTTTGTTATTAAAACTTAGTGCGGATTCATAAACTATAAGTGGAGGACAATGTTATTTTATAAAATTTAAATAATAATCGGTGGGGATGATCAGACAAATTTTGATTAAGTACCGTTTAACCCCAGTGACCAAATGAACTCGATTACAATACTTCCTTAGCTTACGCTCGGGAAGTAAAAGGTGAATTAAACTTCGTATGGAACAATTCACACGGGTTTGTTGTTTGATAAAAAGACAGACCTATACGCGGAGACGCATTTCTTATCCACCAAATCGTTTAATATCGGAACAATTGTAATAAACTTGCATAAAAAAATATAATTAAATTATTACACCAACTTTAGTACTTAAAAGTACTAAAAACGTTTCCAAGTTATAACCAAATTTTTATTATTATTTTCGCACAACGAACGAAACAATATTTCAGTATTACATAAACAGTCGTATCGTTAAAAATCAAACGTCACTATCATCACTATTATCGTCATCCAAGTTAATAATATAATTAATTCCGGTACTAGTAGATCCCTTTTTCTTCTTTAACCACATGACGCACACAATTAGACCAACTAGCCGGTGTTATTTTGGAAACCTCTTCCTTGATAACATTTATTGTATTTGCAGTGAATTTCGGTGCAGTATTGCTTCGCCTTATGTGAGCTTTTAGTTCCGACCAAATTAGTTCAATCGGGTTAAAAACACAATGATATGGAGGTAGTGGTAATATCCTGTGCCCTTGTTCTTCAGCTAAGCAGTCAGTTTTGAATGTTTTATTATGGGTTTTTTAATTGTTGAGAATAAATAGACAGACGAAAAACAAACGGAGTAAAACAAGTGTTCACAGGATGAATGCCAAAATTATGCATGTGCCCAACTTCAGGTAATGCATTATTGTATTATTTCCGGTTGAGTTTCTGATCAGGGGCCCTTCCAAGAACTAAAGAAACCAATCTTATCGGTATTAAAATTTTTATTACGGTCCGTCTCGGGAAACCCTCTCCCAGCCATCTGGACTGCGGTAAGTTTACAAGGGTCTTTAGTTAAGCCCTCATAAAAATTATTGGAAGTCAACAGACGCCTGAGGTAGACTCCGCTCAAGAGTTTTGGTTAAAGTACGATATTTTACAATATTTTCCATTATCGTGACAATGAAATTGTTTATTGTTTATTGTCATACAACAGATGATTTTGGTTTTTAGTTAAAAAAGCATTTTCGTAAAATCCCAGTTTATAATAAAACTATAAAACCCATCGATGACATTTCTGGTAATTTGTGCACTTTGGCAAATTGGGGCGATTTCTGAATATGTAAAAACCAAGATTTTTATAATTAAGATGAAATTATAATGGGATTCAGAAAACACAAAACAGTCGTCATTCATGCGTACAATTTTCCTTTCTCGTGAATCCGTTTCCTTTCAAAACTCAGAGATAAAAGTAATCAAAAAGTCCAATGAGTTAAACCCCGAAATTCCTCGCAATAGAAAACCCGTAATGATTCGTACGTGAACGTCAGTATTCCATGACCCGATGAAAGTTTTTAATGATGATGATAATCCCAGCGTGTGCAAAAAAACCCGCCCAAATTAGGTGGGACAGAATTTGAAATACCGCCAACCTAGTACGCATGTCTGGGGAATCCCGAACCTCGCTGGCCGTCCACCGCACGCGATGAATGTTCACTTATTCAGTTGCCGAGAAACCGAGCAAGAAGATTAACGAATTAGCGACGAAAATAATCGAAAAAGCCCCGAATGCCCACCTGGGAGCATCCCTGAACACGCGTGTCACGTTGGTGTGCGTTTGCAAACAGCCCTATAAAGTGCAAAATACAGAATCGACGAAAAGAAAGTCAAAAGTAGTGCGTGCGTTGTAGCCATTTTGTGCAGTGCGTTCACTACTGGCGGAAAAATGTCCGGGAAACGGGATAAAAGCCTCCATTCGGTTCCAGATGCCAAACTAACAGACGAAGACAAGTTTTATGAATCCTCCACCGTCGACAGCGGGTTCATTTCCGGAGGAAACTTGACCCTTTCCGGCGAGATCAGGTCCGAAGAGGTGACTCCAGAGGAACCCGAGGAAAGTGGCTACATGCGTTTGGACAGCGGGGTTGACCTGTCCGAAAGCTTCTCCGGACTCAACATCAAGAGCCCGGACCTGAACGATCTCTCCAAGACCAAATTGGCTCCGGAACCACCTGTTGCCGAAGAGGAAACCGACGAACTCTGGAAGGAATACTTTCAGCAGGACGAGGATGGCGATACGTAAGTGTCCTTTTTTTTATGGGGTTACCAGTCAAGTTGCATGATGTGAAAACCAGACGACAATAAACAGCACGGGAAAACCGACTTTTTTCCAGATTCGGATTTCGTCATGATTTATTTGCGGCTTGTCGGTCACACTGGTTTTCGTATCTGCGGACCTTTGACCCTAAATTATTGTTGGCCGTTTTTCGTGGAAGAAATGATAGCGCGTTGTCAGAAAGAAACAGGAAAGTTGGCGCACATTGAGACTGACGTCACAAGGTCATGCTATAGTTTGTATTTTTTCCTCCATCTACAATTGTAAACACTTTCCATCGACCCACCGAATTACATAATTACGGTTAACTGCAACGGATGAGACGATGCTCGTAATTATGTAGCTTTCTTTAACGGAATAGCTTTCATTCGAAATTTCGACATTTTTGATAATACGATATGTAATAGTGTCGTGTAAAGAACAAAAAGGTTGGAAAAACCCTCTTTTTTATTTAAGTGGACTCGTAATTATTGTGATGTCATTCAGACTCAGACACATTATCAGAATTACCTAAAATTTTAGTAACTGCGTATATAGCAATTGTTCAAGCCAAAGGTTCGTCTGATAATTTCGAAATCGTCAAAACACCAATAAATTCGGGAAAACCCAGATGCCTAATCAAAACTTTGACAAACACTAGTTAAAAGTCGTAAAATTCCGCAGAATTTGCCGGTTTCTTTGTGAAATCAGGCAGCTCATGTTCGGAATTTCCAGACGAAATAAAAGGGTTTTACCTGACCAGAAACTCTACCATCTGCCGATAATTTTAATGCGTTGAACTATATACACTCAAAACACACATTTTAGACTTTGTGTAACGAGAACGTGGTACAGAATAAATATTGCTTTATGTTTGTTGCTAATATATCATACTGTCAAAGTGCATTTTTGATTGTAGATAAGGTGTAAAAGCAAAAAGATCTTAGTTTCAAGAGCAAATATCGAATAAGCGATTTTATGTGTATTGAATAAGTACCCATTGTCACTACCTGAAGATTGACGTCCACTTTTAACAAAGCAATTAACTCTTCGTTCCTTTTTACAGGAGGAACACACGTGTTCTCTATTATGACACGCTTATGCAAATACTCTTTCATCGTTCAGTTATTCCAAAATCACTTCTATGAAAGCTATATCTGGAGCTAGATAACGGCTATCAAGTCATTAGAATCAACCATAAGCTGGTTATATAATTAAGTCTGTTGAAGATAATCTTATTTCCCATAAAATTGGTACAAGCATTACGTGGTAAACCATTTAGTGTCACAGTGAAAATTACCAAATTGCATTTTTTAGAACATATTAATTATCAAAATTCTATGTTTACGGAAATGTTCACAATTCTATTGATGATTAAGAGGGTTCGTAAAGCACCGGGCTCGACAACAACAAAGAGCTTCGAGGGTTTGGCGCTACTTTTATCTGTTATGCTGTTTACAATTGGATTACTTAGAAAAAATACTTGGAATTCGTTTGTGGTGTAGATTATGGTTGGAAAACCACTCGCGTCTCGAGTTTGTTGATAATTCCTATCGTTGACAAATAAAATATCAACGACAGATCCTGTGACGGATTTCCCAAATTTGAAAGCTTCAAATTTAATCATGTTTAAAACCGTAAGAACTATGTTTTCCCAAGGCAACATGTTTGACGGATAGCTTTGCAAATTTAAACGATTAAACGAATAGTTCGAATGGTATTCGGGAGATTAATGCATAAAATAAAATCAGTAATTAAATTTTTATTTGACTGTCCAAATTTTAACTTTTAAAATGTCAAGGTTATATTGATTCACTGATTAAACGTAAGATTGTGTTTAATCATTGTAAAACGTTTGCTATTGGTCAAAATTCAAATGTTCATGCCTTTGGATTGGTGGTATACATTAATCGTTATTAAGGATCATCAGAAAACGTTAAAAATTTACATGTATCTTTTTACCAGTTTTTATCAAACTATTATCAATTGGAAAACAAACAGAAAGAATCAAAATTTCGTTATAGTAATTAATAGTACTATTTTTTGAAGCAAGGGTTTCGCCAGCCAAAAACTACAAATCTTTGTTATAATATGAAATTTTGTAGAATGTATAATTTTCTCAAAGCTTCATAGTACATTGTAAATATTAACTGTTATTAAAGTTTTGAATGTTAATAATACAAAATCGTAAGCCTTAAAGTTTATGAAAACATAATATAAATATCATTGTGTATTTTTTACAAAAATCGTTCACCTCATTGGGAGAACATGTATATAAGATGCACAGAGAGTTTTAAAATTACACGTAACAGTACCTAATATCTGTAGATTATAAAATAATGGATCCGTATGCACGGTTTATCATCGTATCATCACATGTATCCTTTAGACATGATGCGTCACATTGAAATTAGAGTGTAAGTTTTAAACTTAAATATTACGGATATATTCTAAATGATGAATTAAAACAAAAATCTTTGTTGTGGCGGAAATTCAATAATTGCTTCAGCGAACCAAAAATTCGTCATTCTTATTACTAGCATCGTGATGATTGAACAAAGAATTTACTGCGAAAACCACGATTAGATCAACATGGTACAAAGGATATCAGGATGACCCACCTTTGATCATCCATATCAAGGTCTCGTTCACTATTATGTTTGCTTACAAAATAGCAAAGAAATGTATCCGTTGACGTTGAAATCGCCTTTCTTTCATATGTAGAGGGGCATTGCCCACACGGTACGCTATCGTACTTACCTGAGTAATTGTAGTGGGGGACTCGGAAACTGTTAGCAAGACCATGGGATTTCCAACACAAACTTCGTTAATATTGTTAACCTCGAATAACATTTTTTTTCCAGGTACCTCCACTTAGCTATCGCCCAGGGTTTCGTCGAAGTCGTCCTGGCGTTAATTAGAAGGGCACCGCATCCTTTATTGTTGGACACGCCAAACGACAACGCACAAACACCTATCCATCTTGCCACTTCTATAGGCCATTGGAGGATAGTCAGATGGTTAGTGGTAGCTGGTGCCAAACCGTCACCAAGAAATATCAGAGGAGACTCTCCTCTGCATATCGCCGCAAGAAACGGCGACGTTCTATGTTGCAAAGCCCTAACGGAACCCGTCAAAGAACAGGAACGCTTGGCTTTAGGGTTGAGTTACCCCAAACAACCTTACCATGAAGTCAATCTCGACCAGTGGAATTACGAAGGTAAGTCGAAACGCATTGTATTGCCGGTCTGTGTTTATCACACAACCTGGGTTTTCCTATGATGTAAATTGTCATGTGGTCGCCGAGTTGAAGAATGGATTCAAAATTCTTGTAATCTAATAACGGAACTTGAATTACGTGCAGAGGACAGTCCTTTTTAAATTGTCGTGACCATGATCGTCGGTTGCGGCTCTAGAGTTTAACGAGGTGTCAAATACCTTCAAGGACGGACGCGAACGGACTTGAGTAGGTGAAGGAGAAATATTGGTTTGCCATATTGTTATTTCGAATTATTATTTTTTTATATCAATTGTCCAGAACCAAAAGGTTGCAGGATGTTGGCTTGGCCTGAATACGAAGTTAATATGTGGATTTAGCGGATAAATGTATGCGTAAACTTGACGTAAACACAGATCGGAACATCGTTTATCGGATGTGTCATTGAACGTAAAAGCATCTGCGCCGTAACCATTATTTCGCCAACCATACTGATCGGTTTTCCAAGAGCCATAAAGTAGAAAAAACCGTCCGCGACTTAACTCATGTTGCGGTGTACCAGCAATGAATGTGGGTAGGAAAAATCAATCGGGTCACTAGGGATTCCCGCGCGCGTAATTTACCATTGGAAAGTTTTTTAAATTGAACATACTATAACTTTCATTTTCTTCGGCTTTCGCGCGTTGACAAATTTCGGCAATTGTTCCACACTCGGTAGGTACATCGCAACAATGCAGCAATTTTTAATTCGCGTCTGTTGGGAATTTCCATTTTTGTACGGTCCGTGTGAATGCTGCTTAACCCCAATTAAAGGTGGATTTCCCTGGACATAGTTATGTCGTGAGTGTTTCGTTCATTCTGAAAGGCACTTCTATTAATAATTAACCATGGATTCTTGTGATGTCGGGGAAAACCAGACGCGTCTGGCACAAGCGGCATTGAATTCCGCATATTTTACCATGGTCCGAAAATACACTCATTTCTATTTCGAGCAAGAGACGACGGAATGCTTTTTTGGGACAACAGTAATATTCTGTTTTCTTCACATTTTTCACACAAACTTCCTGCTGGTTCATGCGGAACTGCCGAATTTTCGCCCGATTTAAATTGGCAACGGGTCACATGGGATCTAAATTTAACACAGTGCGTCTTTTTTGAGGGAGTCGCACCATTTTTGGGCCGCTGAATCATTGTGATTAAACAACTAGAGACCGAAATAGTAAAGCTTTTAGGTCTTGCTAGGGTTATTTCGATTTTCTGGCACGTAGGGATCGGGGCTGCTATCAATCGTAACGACGAATGAAAAATTCGATTTAATCAGTATGACTCGCATAAGGTTCGTGAAGTGCCTCTTGACATGACCTGACCTAACCTAGCAATTATGGCAAAAACCCTGGGGCCCCACTACAAAAATCGCGACGAAATCGAATTAGTTGAAGTAACGCTTTACCTTAAAAAGTCGATTGTAAATATTTAACGATCTCCTCCAAACCAGAATCTTCATTTTTTTGAATGCTGGAATTCCCAGCCAGCCGCCTGAAACATGTGAGACGAGATTCGCAGTTCCATCATGGTAAACTTGGGGGGAAGAAATTGCGACGGAATGAAAGTTGTGCATTTATGAGTTTCTACAGTCGTTGCGAAAAGTGCGTTTAGGAATTTCCCGCCAGTAAACCGATGTGCAATAGTCCCCAAAACAATGTGAGGCTAAAATTAAGCTGAAAAATCAGAGCGCGTGATTTGGTGGGCGATTTTGCACCCGGTTCGGTTTATTTTAGATCAGTACCTATCGTGGAAATTGCGGGGGTCAAATCGAATCGATGCCTACGTGACTGACGTTAGTGGATTCATTTTCTACAATTAATGACGGGGGTCAATTACGCTAATGTCCTGCGTGATATGTAATATTGGGGTCATCACTCCGCGTAAAAATGTAAAGGTTTCTTGGAATTTTTCACGGAAAAAACGTAAATCCAAAAGTAGAATGGATGGATATATGGGACGAATTGCTACTGCTTTATCATTTATTCATGTGAAATTTATTGTACCTTTTGATAAGATTTCGACGATTTTTTAATCAATAATCATCAAGTCCTATGCTCGTTCGTTCTTTATATCTACGGTGGCTGTAGAACTGTATACTAATTTGCTTCTGTTCTTATTTATATTTCTGTTAATTACATTCCTTACATTCTCAGCGCTTTTTTGTCTTATCTTCTGCAATATTCAATTCTTTAACTGAGTAAAATAATGCTATAAATTTCATTTCATCAACCAACCCCTTGACGAAATATTTCTTTTTATCTCATATAATCAACATTAATTGATAGAAAATTGAATCAAAAACGAGTTAATTCTTTGCCATGAAAACGATTTTAAATTCGCAAAAGATTGTTGACCATTCAGTAAATTAATTTGACTTGGTGTGCTAATATCAAAAGACAACATTTTTGTGCAGTATGTTTAAATTGTTTTGACCTTGATACACTCATAGATAAACTCGTGAATTCTACATGCTCTAAAGATGATAAGAACCCATTAGAGAGTTGTGTGATAAACTGCCCCATACAGTTTTCGACATTTTAATAATCACGAAGAAAATAAAATCGTACACGGCCCCATCAACTTGGCCACTTTGATGAAATATGCATGTAGAGTAAAACTCGTTATCTTTTGTTGCAGGTCAAACATGTGTGCATGTAGCGGCCATCGGGGGCCACATCGACGTACTGCGCCACCTCGTGTGGTACGGAGCCGACATTAACGCCCGAGAAGGTCGTCAGGGTTACACCGCCCTCCACTACTCGATAGAAAGGGGCGATGAACGTCTGGCGCATTTTTTACTCGGCGAATGCAAGAAACTGAACGCCGACGCCGTGACGTACGGCGGAAACAGCGCCCTCCAGCTGGGTTTTCCCGTGCCTTCGACGATTGCGGAGGCGCTGAGGTCCAGAGGCGTGCCGTCACCGTACAGCAGCGACGATGAGTTCAGCGATAGCGAAAGTGAATCCGAAGTAACGTACGACAACAGTGCGATGTTTGTCCACAACTTGATTGACGCAAGTGCGTAGAGAGAGAAATTGAGAATCGATGATGAGAAACACAACACGATCAGCCTCCGAGGTAGCGAGCGACGAAGAGAAAGAGAATAAGTTGCCAAATGTTTGATACTAACTGTGATCTATTATTACGTCATCACTGTGTAATAAACAAAACGTGGCAATTTTTGTTTCAGATGATTGTGTTTTTTTTTCCTGTACATCTTAGTAGCTACTATTTCTATACTACCTGTGAAAGAAAGCCCGAATATATTTTTTTAATTTATAATTTTGTATATAAAGCGAGCTGGGAGTTTCTTTCACAAGTAGAGGGAATTCTTACTATGTAATCGTGACGTTCTATCACGAAATTTATTATTAAGACTAAACGTATATGAAATTTTGTGTTCTCATATAAATTATTTAGTTAAAAATTACAATCTGTTATATTTATTTTGTTGTTGTATAATTTTTCTGATTTTTGTACATAGTCCTACTTTAGTGATTCATTTATTTTTAGTTCACGTTTAGCCCAAACTTAAGTGACAAAAATACACAGAAAAAAGCTGCAGCTTTGTTTTCTTTTACTTGTGGAAATAAAGACGACGATCAAATTGATTCAAGGTCATGTGCATGTCATACTATTGACAAAAGTTTTATATACCTATCACGAACAATAATATGTACTGAGTAAGATGCCGAAACTGAATTCTTCAAACAATGCAAAAATCCTGTGAACTTCCTGTTAGATTTTGATGAGCTGATACGGTGAAACAGAAAGCATTCTGTGGAGCGTTTCTATATACATCACTAAGCAAATATTCCTCTATTAGCAACGCATTTAAAATGTTTTGCAAATTACAGTTTTAATAAGTAGGGATTCCCGAGTTATTCAGACACCACCAACATGGCTGGAATTTCCCAAGCGATGCCGTGTGCCACTTTGAATGCAACAACAACTGCTAAAACTGTTGACTGGAAAGAATATATTGCGGATTTAAAACCCTGACGTTAAACCCGATTTCGAATAAATGCTCATAATATTTTAATGTAGATATGACGTGATACAACTTATGAGTAAGTCTAAATATATATATTCAATTTGGGCTAGTATAATGCACTATGACAGCAAATCAACGTGACTTCCGAATAGCCACACAGAAGTGTAAATAAAATAGCTTTAACTTTTTATTAATAACTCGCCGTCTTTTTCTATTTTTCAGTGTACACAGAATTTAGAAACATATATTTATCGAGTTAGCTTATTCAACAAATCCCTTTTTGTGCAGCATCAATTTTAGGTGCAAAATCATTAGATTTTATAATTATGAAAATCAATCCTAACAAACGATTTTTAGGTCCAAAATTCACAGTTTTTATAGTTAGTGAAATTAGTCAAAAATTATGTATTTGAAACATTCACAGAGAAAAAAATGGTCTAGGGTTATTTAGATAGAACTTCCCTCGCCCCTGAATTACAATAAAAATAAAATATATCCAATCCACGTTTTTCACAAAAATACAAAATTTGATTTTGCCAATTTAATTTTTTATGAGAACCCTTATAAGTCAAAATAAATATGTATGCAGTGTTAAATTAAATGCAATGAAGCGTGTTACATGTATATTTCAAATAAGGTTTTCTTCAACAAAATTTTGAGTCATCAATTTGGGGGTGGGGGGGGGGGGGGGTGGTACAAACAGATATATTTTAATTAAAAATTGACCAGACTTACGATAACTTTAAAACGTCTGCAGAATTTAACAGCATCCAATAAAATAAACTGACCATTATTTTTTTTGGGTTACCTGTTTAAGCAGTTCTAAACAAGTTTGAACGCAATGACAAAGCACAAATATAGATTTATTATAGTTTGCACATTTTCGATAGGATTTATTTGGTAAAATTTATAAACAAGGCGTGAGCAATAAACAATTATATTTTGATTAAAAATTTCTCATGCTGATGAACTTTAAAATGTCCGCAAACTTCAGAATTTTAAAGCATTCAGATTTGCTTAAATTGCAAAATGTTGTTGCAGTTTTTTTTCGAAAAATCTGGATGTCTCGGGTAAAAAATTTACACCGATTCATAAACTACATATGGAGGAAGTACAATTTAAAATCCATTACTATATATAGGGCATTCCATGCCAAATCGACTACTTTTGAACCTGACCCTTTCGAGTTTGTTGAAATTTTTACATTTTTTTCCACCCCACCAAAGACGTTTCTGAGAATTTTTTGAAATTTTTTTACCCAACCAAAAAAGTTATGAATTAAAAAATATATGACTTTTTTTTTCAAAAAAAAAATACAACTTCTTCAAAAATTGAGTTTTCGGGGCGTTTTTTTTTTTAATTTTTGTCTTTAAATGTACTTTTCAGAAAGAAATTGAAAAATAATTTTTGATGTGAGATTTTTCAATTTTTTGAGAAAAACCGTCAAATCTCGAAGTTCGACTTTTTTGATTTTTTTCCCTAAAAAAAAACTTACCTTTTTTCTAGACACAACCCCGAGCGTAAGCAAAGGAAGTACTGTAATCGAGTCCGTCGGCTGACTCTCTACTTTTACATTTTCTCGACCTTTCATGACCCTTGGAAGACGAAAAAATAGGTCTCCCGTTTCCGTCTGTCCGTATGTTTGCCGTTCCAGAGTTTTATTAGACAGATAATCTCCGAAAGTACTAGACCGATTGTTGTGAAATTTTGTATTTATATTAGGAATATCATATATAATAACTCCTCATCCCCTCCTAAAAAATTGATGACGTCACCTCAAAATTTTGCTGAATAAATCCTATCTTAAATCTGCAAAGTATGAAGAGACAATACTATATCTTTTGGATTTGAATATACAGGATGACTCAAAAAAATTAATGAATGAGCGAATTATTTTATTATTTTATTTATTTAATCAGGAACTACAAAACCGAATGCTTTAAAATCTTGGAGATGTTTTACAGTTGCCATGGTAAATTTTTAATCAAAATGTATTTCCTCATCCCCCCTAAAAAATTGATGACATCACCCCAAAATGTTGCTGAATATGTCCTATCTAAAATGTACAAAATATGAGGGGTCTGTACTTGTGTGATTTATCATTCCATTAATATATTTTTTGGATTTGCATATACTGGGTGACTAAAAAAATTAATGAATGGGTGAATTTATTTAATTGTTTTAATCAGGAACTACAAAACCGAATGCTTTGAAATCTTGGAGATGTTTTACAGTTATCATAAGCATGGTAAATTTTTAATCAAAATGTATTTGCTTATCCCCCCTAAAAAATTGATGACGTCACCCTAAAATTTTGCTGAATATGTCTTATCTAAAATGTACATTATATGATGAGTCTGTATTTGTGATTTATCATTCCATTAATATTTTTTAGATTTGCTTAACAGGTCGCTCAAAAAAATTAATGATGAGTCAATTTATTTAATTGATTAAACCAGGAATAGTTCACTCCAATTTCCCGAAAATTTGGAGATACAACAGTGTTATTATTAGTATTATATTGCATGTAATAAAATAAAATGTAATAAGAAAAAAAAATAGGCATGCAGTCATGTTTCACACAGCGAGGGAAGTACTGTCTAAACTTTTTAGACCAATTTTTTAGATTTGCTAAACAGGTCGCTCAAAAAAATTAATGAAAGAGTCGATTTTATTTATTGATTAAATCAGGAATAATTTACTCGATTTTCCCTAAAATTTGGAGATACAACACTGTTATTATTCGTATTACATTGCACCAACCCAATTTGATAGACACAAAATTTTCTAAAGTAAAAACTCGTTTGAAACATAGGCGTAGCACGCTTATTTACATTTACTTTAACATTACAGACGTGCATTTGTTTTGTTGCGCTGACTAGGTTCCGTGAATGTGGTATTGACAATTTTTTTATTAAAAAAAAAAAAATAGAACTCAAATTCGGCCCACTCCCGTTTTCACGGGGTCATGTCCAGAAAAAAATCAAAGTTTCTCTTATGGAAAAAAAAATAAAAATATAAACAAAAAATGTCGGACTTCGAGAAATTGACGCTTTTTTCAAAAAATTGAAAAATTTCATAGAACCTCACATCAAAATTTTGTTTCCAATTTTTTTCTGAAAAGTACATTTAAAGACAAAATTTTTGAAAAAAAAACGTTCCGATAAGTCAATTTTTGAAAAAGTTGCAGGTTTTTGAAAAAGTCCATTGTTCCTCCAAAAGGGAGAACGTCTTTGCAGTAGCGTGCACCCAGACCAAGAATATACATATTATTTCTGCCACATCTAATAACTAATAGTAGTAATAGGTAGTTTTAATAGTGTGATCACAGATTTAGACTATCTTTAATATTTGAAATTCACAATGATTTTTTAAAAGGTAGAAACGTATTTATTATTTCCAGTCTCGACCACACATAAAAGTTTTTGATAAATGTTCAGGAAGTGAATAAAACAATGTTTTTGATAAGTATTCAGGAAGTAAATAAAAACAATTTGATAATATTTAAGTACCTACCGAGTACGGAAATTTGCAGAATAATTCATTTGGTTGAAATGGGACATTGAAGTATAGTGTCCGAAATACTACAAGGTTATATGGCTGTTGTAAAATTAGGGTATTATGAACACGACGGTGGATCACTTAATAAGGCAAACCCACAATTGTAAATTGTGTATGTGTTGGTTTAAAGTACCAAAAATGTTTAGCCGGATTACCCAGCAGTAGATATTGAAACAAATCCTTGATTCTAGGATTGAGCCGGTACCAGCCGCACAAAAGGTACAACATCCCATTATTAAGTTTAGTGGGGTCATATAACCTCGTAGTATTTCCGACACTATACCTACATCGATCAATTTGTAAGTTTTAGTCATCCATGAAAACTACTAAAGAATTTTGTTGCCCTACGTAAATATTTTACCTCCTTGAACCCTAATTCACAATTTTTAAATAAAATCACACAGATTACATCAGTTTTGAAAGAAAAAACCTACAGCTCTTGAATGTTATTTCACACTATTTTGTTTATCTAGTTTTCCTATAGAACGCCACTGACCGAAATGTTTACAACAGTAATTAGTAATTACTAATTACTTACACTTATTCAGTAGAATAAGTTAAACTAGCGTGATGGAAATATGATTGAATAAATAGAAACATAATGATTTTTGGGGGACTGGTGCAAATATGGAAATAAAATTAAAAAATGTTTAAAAAGTAACATAGATGAACTTTGCTCTAATCAACAAAATGTGTCTTTATTGGTCTTAAGTGGTACATATACTTACATTTTTTTTTTTACATAACCAACTGTAATTTCATGTAACATTGTGTGCGAGTTTTCCACAAAAACCAAGAACACTTGTTAATTTGACACTTGCAGTTGGTCAATTTCAAATTACACTTGATTCAGTTTGAACTTCTCTGCACATGGTTTAACGTCATTTTTGTGAAGACTAGTTAACAGTTTCAACTCCAACAAATCTACTGCAGCTCTAGTCAACACTAGAGTATCATGTTTAAGCATTGAATATACATTAAGACCATACACAGGCATTAAATTAAAATGCTTTATCTTGTCTGTGGCAGCCGTAATGTTTCTAGGCATAATATCCACACTGGAAATCAGTACATAAAAAAATATAATTCCCCATAAAAAATATAATACATACTCATCCACAAAAAGAACTGAGGGTCCCCAATTTCTACTTCTAACTAATTCTTCAATAAAGTTTGGTTCATCAGTGGGAATCTCTAAATTCATAATTATGTGTAAATCATCCTGGGCTAACTTTACAGATAGCGTGGACGTTAACCCATGTACTCTGCTGTAATAAGGTAACATGTAAAAGTGAGGAGTTGGTGATTTTGGGCCATGAATGACACCACCCCCTCTAAATAACGGACTTCTTATTGAACCATGACGAGCTCTACCCAATCCTGTAAAAAAGCCGTAGTTTATGAACACCATGTACCCACATTAAAAAAAACCTTTTTGGGGCCAAGGTTTTCGACCTCCTCCTCTTACTTCAAATCTTGATTTAGTATGTGCGTAGCTAACGTATCGATATAAACTCTGCCATCGAACATTTTCTTGGATTATATCAATGCGAGGATTTGCTGCAAATATTTCTGGATGTAAATCTATTATCCCGAGCTTTTTTTCTTCTATCGTATCAAAATTTTCTAACCATACTTGTCGAGGTTTTTGATATTTTGGCGGAAACGCCAACTGCCGAGACTCCACTGGCACTTTTGGGGGTGCAGTTGAAAATTTTCTAATCGCGAGTAAACACGTTCGGAGTTTTGGAACTGTTTCAGACATCATGGTTGTGTTTTCACTAAGAACTTAAGGCACAACTACGATTCATCAACTAAATAATAAGAATTGGGGTAAACTCTTGACGGCACAAAACTAAACATAACCTCAACATTGACAGTGCTTCCTGGTGCACAGTGGCGTAACATTGTAAAGGGTTCGGCGGTCCCAATCCCAAGTTTTAGATCTATCAAGGTAAATTAGTTTTATAAATAAATGTACAACATAGACTGCGTAAAAAAATTATACTAAGAATAATAGTTATGTTTCATAACCATATGCAGTAAAGCTGTAGCAGTGACTATGTATTTTAAAAGACCGGCAACCCCGTATCCTTATGCGTACCAGTGAGTTAATATTGGCGGTCAGATGGCGCCCCAAAATGCGACAAAAGCCCTCTAACCTTCAATGGTTGTTACTAATACCATTTTACGGGTTGTTGTCTGAGCTTGTACAACACAACTACTGTAAGTGAATCGCTCTTGCAGCCGTTTTAGTTTGAAATTTAACAAGTCGGACGGCGCGGAAAATTACTGACACTTTGCGACTCGAATCAAATAAGGGTGTGGGGACCAAAAATCTGTGCAAGTTTCAAACTAGCATAACTTTATTATTGAATGACGAATTAAAAACGCAACTGTTAACATTTACTGCCCATTCACAATGGACATAAGACATAAGAACGAGCGCATAACATAATTTACGTTTTTGGTTTGTGTCTGGCTTATGCTTATCTACGTTCACAGTGGACAGAGTGAACTCTGTAAGAATTGTTAAACTGCGCAAACGCAGAACGGAATAACTCCCGGCTAAACATAGAAACGGCTAACCTCAAACTGAGTCAATCAAAATATCTAACCTACGATTTCATACGATATTCGAACTTGACAACTCGCAGTACAGAACAGACTCGCAGTGTGAAGCTTTGATTATAATTTATATAATATAATCAAAGGTGTGAAGTGCCAAGTGCCAACTGTCAAAGGAAATTCAATAGCAGCATTCAAAAGTCCCTAGATTTTAACATAATTTTGACATAATTCGTGCACAAAGTTGAACTTATTTCAACTTTGTGTACGCACACAAGAATTACATAAAACGTTCATAAGCATAAGAATTACGTTCGTCCACTGTGAACAGGGGTACACGTTTTCCATCGTTTCAACTTTACGTATTTATGTAAGCTTTATGTACTTGTTATGCCTTATGTCCATTGTGAATGGGCAGTTATAAAACAACTTTATAGAGTACGATTTGCAACATATCTACTTGGTTCACAAATTTTTGTTTTAACACGGCGCGGCGCATTAAATTTGTGAAAGCCAATATTTTTTTCTGCCAAATTTTCAGCAATACACATTGCTTAATTCTATATGTGTGAAGGGTTCCTACTCTACATTTTTTACACAAATTCCACTTTAGATTTCTTCAAAAGCGTTCAATTGGTTGCAGTTGAGGAACGTTCGGAACATTTTTGTCCTTAGGAATAAACTGAATATTTATATAAGTCATTTATGCATCAATAACGTTGGCAGTGTAATGATTCAGAATTTTTTTTTAATTTTTGCTTTTGTTCCAATTTTTGTTTTTCTGAACATTTGGGAATTGATTTTCGCTTTGCAAATATGATTTTATTCTCCCTTAGTAACGTACTTTTTGCCGATTTTAAATTTCTGTCAAAAATTTCTAAATGGCATTCCAAGTTTACCGTGGTTAGTGAGTATGGATGTTAAAAATGGGACACATTTACACTATTATATTACTAAATTACTAGTTATAATGTTTCAATACATGGTTACTGCCATGGTTCTGACTGATTAAGGCTTCTCTCCTCTTCTGGGCCATTTTTGTTGCTGGAATTCCACTTCTTGTCTGTCTTTCTATCGAATTACCATTCTCTAGAGTTATAATTTGTCCTTTTTGATATCCCCATTTGGAAAAAGTGATTAAATGTGAAGGCCTTTTTTAAATGCATACGGTCTGTATAAAATTCGGCAAACACATTTCGGCAATTATTTTCATTCGAGTGTTCCATTTTCGCACAAAATATTAAACTTCTAGTGGAATTAGCGATAATAATTTTTGATAAGTCGTCGCCTGGGAACATGTTTGATCCACAGACCAGAGCGCGCTCATGCCAATGTCGATTCTAAGCGTTCAGAATTGAAAAAAGAAATTGAAAAGTTCCCAAAACTGATAATGTTGAAACAATTGAGAAATCGAAAAATCTATAAATCGAAAAATTTTAAAAATCGAAAAACCAAGATGGCAAAATTAAAACTTGAAAAATTCAAATATCGAAAAATTGTAAAATCGAGAAGTCTAAATATAAAGAAATAAAAAAAATTAACATTTCAAAACAGAGAAATTGAATAATTGGATAAATGAAAAATCGAAACATCGAAAAATTGGAAAGTTGAAAAATTAAAAAAAAGTGAAAAATCGAAAAATTAAAATGTAAGAACAACCGTTCCACAAAATCAGGTGTTCTACCTGAGCGCATTCATAATCTTTGTACAAATGTAAATACGTCCTATCTTTCGTCTACCTGCCCTACGCTCCTACATACTTTCTCTTTCCGTTTCTAGAATTTTCTAAACTATTTCTTTACCTACTACCACCTATTTGAAACCGAGCCTACCTGTCGACCATTCAAACACCCTTCGATCTTCTTCTCCCTGGCACTCTCAAGCAGTAAAAGGAACTAATTAAAATCTGAAAACCGTAACCGCCGCTTTTTCTAAAAATCACCAACGATACCCACAAAAAAAATGGAAAATCGAAAAATTAAAAAAAAAACGGAAAATCGAAAAATAAAAAAAAGTGGAAAATCGAAAAATAAAAAAAATGGAAAATCAAAAATTTAAAAATTCCAAAAATTGAAAAATTGAGATAGAAGAACTGAAAAGTCGAGAAATCGAAAAACCTAATATTTTAAAAACTGAAATGTAGAGATGTACCGACTGTAGGTCTGGCCGACTGTTCGGCTTTGCTAAAACCGGTTTATAAATGCTACAGACAGTGTGTTTTTTTTTTCTATTTCTCTGACTATCTTAAAAAATTGTTTTATTTTAATAAAAGGAATAACTAAAGTTCCTTCGTTTTCCAAAAAATGTGTTAAATTTGTTTGGATAATTTTAACATATAATTTTTTTTTGTAACTCAGTACAAAAATTAAGAATAACACAATTTATGGCCATTTTATACAATATTTTAACTGAGATTAAGTTGATCGCGCATTTAACAAGGCCATTAGCGACGTCTCATTGGCGTAGAGTCGGTCACATGGTACTTTAACGCGGGGTTAAAAATTAAATCGCAATTAAATATTTAATTGAGGTTCTGTAAACCGGGTTTAATTGTTTTATATACTTACAATTTTAATTTTAATAAAAAAAGCCGACCGATCGGCTGTTTTGCCGACCAGTCGCCGACTGCTAGCCGACGATGAAAAACGGCCGAATAGTCAGTTTATCCGACTGGTCGGCCACTAGTCGGTACATCCCTACTGAAAAGTTTAAAAAACGAAAAATTGAAAATTCAAACAGTAAAAAGCCGAAAAACTGAAAAATCACAAAATTGAACAAAATATTCAAAAATTAGGAAGTTAAAGAATTGAAAAATTGAGAAATAAAAAATTCAAAAAGCAAAGTCGAAAAAAGTAGATTAATTGAGGAATCGGAAATCTGAAAATTCTGAAACGTCAAAATTTGAAAAATTAAAAAATGTTGAAGAACTGAAAAATCGAAAAGTCTAAAATATAAAACATTGAAAAATTAAAATATCGTAAAATTGAAAAATGGAGAAATCTAAAAATCAAAAAATAAAAAAAATAAAAATTGAAAAATCTAAAATATAAAAATCGAAAAACTAAAAAATCAACACATCGAGAAATCAAAACTCGAAAACTAAAAAAAATTGGAAAACTGAAAAATCGAATAATATAAAAATCTAAACACAGGAAAACCGAAAAGTCGAAAAGTAAAAATCAAAAACCGACAAATCGAAACATCGAAAAACTCAAAAACTGAGACATCGAGAAATCGAAAAATCAAAAGATGGAGAAATCGAGGAGTCGAAAAGTCGACAAGTCGAAAAATCGAAAAATTGAGAAACCGAAATAGGCCAAAATCGACAAATCGAAAAGTTAAAAATGGAAAAATTGATAATTCGGGATCTCAAAAATTGAAAAATCGAAAATTTAAAAATTGGGAAAATAAAAAAAATAAATTATAGAACAACTGAGAACTCGAGAAATCGAAAAATCTAGAATTTTAAAAATGAAAAATTACAATATCGAGAAGTTGAAAAATTGAGAAATCGAAATATAAAACGGTCGAAAAACTGAAAAATAATAAAAATATCATAATAACTATATCTACTATAATGGCCGTTCATTTTTTTATTTAAATAAAGGATGAATTTAAACGCATACACCAGGCATCCTCCAAAAATTGGGATTTATTGGCATGTTGTCAACATGTGCTTATCATAACAATAATAATTAAAGAAAAGCTGAAATTTGGTTAAAATTGGACAAAAACTTTTCACCAGTCCACCGTTCATTTGGGGATGGGTTATTTTGCTTTAACGTAATCGCACTGGCCACAAGTCTGATGAGTTGGTGTTCGTCCAGACTACTGTTAACGTAGTTCACAAGAAAAAAGGAGGGAGAGCCACTATCCACTATTACGTTTGTGGATGAAGTGAAGTGAGGGGTAAAACGGAGCATTAGCCCCGCACTTGTCCATAAGGTTGCCTCTCTTTTAACATCTATATTCACTGGCTGTAGTTCAAATAACAGCCCTTTTGGCTTCTTTATTTAAGAAAATGTTGATCAAAAACACAAGACCAAGGAAGCAAAAGTAAGAACAGGATTCGGTGACCTGTGTCATGCTGATGTTCTGCTATATCTGACGATGAAAAGGAACCGGATTGAATGCAACGTTGATTTTCAGATAGGTATTCTAATTTTAATGGACCGATCAGTTTCACCTATGTAAACTGCACCACATGAACAGGGAATCCGATAAATACCTTTTTCAACACCGACCCATTTTCTCTCATTTTAATCTCCACCTATTGCAATGTAATTACTGCTTTTATTTTATAATTTAGCAAACATTAAACAGTTTTGATGCGATTAAGAAGAAGTGTGGATTTAGAATTTTTAGGAGATCTATTCGACGTTTCATCATCAGCTACAAATAAAATTTTTCTTTGCTGGTTAAATCTGATGCATGTAAAGTTGGGTAGTCTAAATGTCTGACCACACAGAGATGTTCTTTTCGGTAATGCTCTTCAGTTTTACAGTTCAATATCCAAATGTAGTACGAATTGACTGTGCAGAATTTTCTTGTCAAGAGCCATGTTCTTTGATACGTCAGTCACAGTCTTTTTCGAATTATAAACACCACACCAGTTTCAAATCATTAACAATGGTTAATCCAAATGGTGCTATATCATTTCCTTCTGATTCTGACAAACAAATTGGGTTTGTATCAACTATAAGAAGAAAAGTTACCAATAAAAAACTAAATAGTAGGTACTCGTAACTTAAGACAAATAGCGATAACACTATCAACCTGTAGACGTGAGAGTAAAACAGAAACTAAACTTAAAGATGTTTTCTACCAATTGCAATAACCAGATCGCAATGCCGACGGTCCAGACCTTTATTGCTCTGACTTCCGTTTATTGAATAAAACACTACATTTTACTTTGATTTTAGATGTTGCAATTCGCATTTGGTTAAGTATAACTTGTCTAGATCTGGGGGAGGCTCAGCATCCCCTAGCCTCTCCTCAACGACAGCCTTGTCTAGGAATTATGAAATATCGAGAAAATATGAAAGTACCAAATTGCCTAATGGACTCCATTCTGTACAACTTGAAAGTGTTTATGTTTATACATCGGAAGAATGTCACGTAGAAATTAGTTTGATTTGAATGAATTCGTCCCCTCAAAACAGGATCAAAACCATCAAGTAGTAAGCTACAATCGACAAAATGTTCTGAATATCATTATTATAATTCTTATTAAATAAAGACGTTTGTATTTTCACATTTTCGGGAAAATGGAGCGACTCGTTTTTAATTTGATCGATAAAAAATATTAATGCAACGATGAATCACAAGTAAAAACTCATCATATTTTGCACATTTTGGGTAGAATTTATTCGGCAAAGTTTTGAGATAACGTCATCAATTTTTTGGGGTTGATCAACAGATACATTTTATTTAAAAAGTTACCTTGCTTACAATAACTTCAAAACGTCTGCAAGATTTCAAAATATTCAGGTTCGCAATTCTTGATTTAAACAATAAAATAAATTGACTCATTAATTTTTTTAAGAACCTGTATACGCAAATCTAAAAAATATTAATGCAGTGATAAATTACAAGTATAGACTCATCATAGTTTGCACAATGCAAATTTAAGATAAGGATTGTTCAGCAAAATAAACTATCAAGAGATCAACTGTCTACACTACACAGGGCCGTACGCGCCCGTAAACCCTTTAGATGATTTATGGCACGGCTATTTACATTTTCAATGTACTTCCTAATGCTTGCGGTCATTGAAATTGCAGTGCCATAAAAACGAAGTCAGACTGGGACAACTATACTTTATTATTACGTATATCGTTTACATGTAACTTCAGTTGTTATATTATACAGGATATGTAGATTGGTACTGTAATAAACAAGTGGGAGAAATGTATGAATTATATTGGTACGGAACAAAGTAACAATAAACAAAATCCAAGATATAACACGCTGTATTCAGTAAAATCCTACACTATGAAAATTACTATTGGATAGTGTGGAAATACAGTTGGTAGAGTTAGTATTAAAAATATACTTCCATCACAATTTTTGCATTTTAACAAAATTTAAATCTTTGCTCCCAAACGATTGTTAAATATCATATTTTTTTTTATTTACATTATACAGCCATACATTTATGTACTTTGTTTAATTTTTTTTTTTATTCTTTATACCCTAGAGACCGACCCTTGGTCTACTCAACATTTTTTCTCGAACAGCCCACCTCAAATTTGCTCTTTGGCATTCACCTGGAATTTTCTGCCGTTGCCATCCAGCTTTGTACTGGTGATATAGTGCAACTGGGTCACTTTTTTGACTTGTAAGCATTACAGGCCTGATAACTGTAACCAAAAATAAATAAATGTAATAATTACATTTTGTACAACAAATAAACTTACATGAACTTTTTGACTTACAAACGTTAGTAGGTTTTTTATCAATCACAACATTTGATTTGTTTTGAAAAGGATTTGTGTCAAGTTCCACTTCCTCTGCGTCTGCGAATTTATCTTCACTTTCTTCACTAATTACGTTTTCTTTGTTATGCTGTATACAGCTATGAATACATCTATTCTTTCTCACATACAATGAAATAACGCTTTCTTTTTTTGGCACAATCTTTGCTTTTGATGACAAAGTACTGTGTGAGTATAAACTTTGAAATATGTCAATAGGATTTCGAGGTTTTTTTGTGTCTGCGTCTTTGGTGTCTGGTAGTTTTTCACTTTCATTGTCTGCCAGTCTACAACTTGAATTTTCCATCTGTTTTTCACCTGATTCATTTTGAAAGTTTCCTGCAAACTTTTTCCGTTCTTCATACTTTATTAGTTTCTTCAAATCTACAACGTCTATATAAATAACGGCATCAAAAAAACGGTGCTACGTACCTTGTACAAACTCTTTTAGTTGCATTGCATTTATATTATTATAACCGAGATAATTTAAACAATTCAACACCTCTCTTGACGTGATTTCCGTCGGCATGATGAGAGAATGCGATTTATTAAAATTAAACAATTTTGGAGCCCTAAACAAAAAATGCGCCTTGAGTATACGTTAACCCTAATTTTTAATTTTCAGATGGAAAACACTCGAATTTTTCACACTTGAACCTCTGCAACTGAGATTTTTTATAATAACGTTTTGTTTTTGTACCAACCTAAAGAAATTAACTCCTCCAAAAACTAACTTCACGCGCAAGGTCACCAGTGGCGTTTCATAATTAGTTTTTTCCTTTATTATAAATTAGTAATAAACATATAATATAGCTTATATAGGTAAATTGGACAAATAATCTTCATCTTAAATAATAATTAAGTAATTATAATTATAGTACGAACTTTTGGTACGTCATCAGATTTTGAAAAAAGTTACAATTATTAAAACCAAATAAAAATCAACAACCAGTATAATTTTTACGCTGTAAATACAATACAAAATTTACATATCAGAATGCAAACACTACAAACGAAATGGATGTTTAGTTTCCATTTTTTCTTCCTTTAACTTTACAGCCAATGTACACGTAAAACCGGTAATTTTCTGATCTATTTAGGTACACTCCAAATGATATTTTTCCTTGAAAAGACTTGGAAAGTATTTGTAGCGGTTCCTTGGATGTTTTTCCCGTCGTTTGATCAATGCATATCATTTGGCACCTAGTGCAAACACCGCCAGACTAAAAAATCAACGAATACAAACAGATTCACAAGAAGTGCTAATTTACCTTGAAAATCAAATTGTCAAAAATAAATTCTTCGCACTCATTTTCAACCAACGCATTTCGAAATTTTACAACAAAATTAGGTCTAAATCTCTGGATTGTGTTTTCCAAACTTTCGGGTAATTCGTGGTTTCTGGCTCGTTGTCGCAGCCATTCTACACTTGTTACGTTTATTAATAAATACTGAGCTTGATTAGCCAAAGACAACTGAAACTGTTCACCTAAAATATCCCATTTAAGAAACTATCAGCGCACAAAATAAAACATACTTTTCTTGGACGTCCTACTTGTTTCATCATTTTCTGAACACTGCTTTAATAAACGAAGACCAGGATATTCTAAAACTTCACTTAACCAATCGGCTACTTCATGGCCACAATCCCACGCCTGGATTTTATCTCCACACACTTTGCTTTGACACAGAGAGGCGAAAATTTGTGAATTTTCACTTATATCGACAGGGATGCTGATCATTTTGTGTCCTAAAACGCCGAATTATTTTCATTTTTTTTTATTAATAACGAAAACGAGTACCTGGATAACTTAAAACTAAAGATCTCGTTTCCAAGTTAATACTAGGACGGATAAGACACAATTTTTTGTTGTTTTTTTGAGTTACGCAGACTCCAGATGAATTTATGATCATCCATTGTCGATCGTATTTTAAACCAGTCGATGTTATTGGCCACTTATCTTCAACTACAAATCCACTGCAAGATTTGATTGGATACAAAATAATTTGTTGCAAGATGCCTTCTTCGTCGGGTTGGGGTTCCAAGGAATTAACATTATTGTTACATTCCACGATACTTTTCTGACTTTTACCTCCTCGATCAGTCAGAATAAAACCGTCTACAGACTGCTGTTGCAATGTATAAAAACTTTGTGGGATCTTTTTGACAGCTGGTTTAGTAACAAAACAATTTTCCATCATTTGCAGAAATTTATCTGCATCAGTTTTCGTTGACATATACCCAAATGAAATTCTGACTGATCCGGTAGGGTAGCCGCCAATCAAATCATGCTGATCTCCGCAAACATGCCCAGCCTGTGTTATCAAATTATTGCACAATAATTACATTGGATCATCCTCAGGATCACCAAACAGATGCATCAGCGATCACGTGAAACAATTAATGTACAAGAATGATACGGGACACTCGACGAGAGCTGGAATTGCGATTTTAAAGTACACTTTAAAAGGTATGTGTCTTTTAACTAACGGAATCTATAGAACTGAAGGTAAGCGAAGAAAATTGTTGCTTCTCCGATGGGAATCGAACCACACGTTTACCGCTTGCCGGGCGGGTGCCCTTACCACTAGACTACGAAGGAGCTAATCTTTCTCCGCTTACCAACGTGTTATTGTGTCGCCACAGAATCTTTGTTCACGTGCTTTCATTACAGCATCAGTTTGGCGATTCCAGTACAGTAGCAGCAATTTATACATTCGTACTTACATCAAACTGTCTTTGTACGTCTTCCGAACTCATATTTAAAAAGTGCTGACATGCACCTGGATTGCAGAAGCACCCAGTTCTCAAGTGAATACCATGTAAATTTGCAAAATTTAAAACCTCAGCATATCCCACATAGTCGCCATTGTCGCGTAAAACATTGAAATTAACAATGGCTCCTTGGTCCCTCGACGTCTCGAAAGTGGTGTTATGATATAAAATAACAACCGGTTTGCCATTAGAATGGTGCAAACAAAGCAAATGTCTGTAGACATACTGCGCCAATGAAAACGTATGTTTTGAAATCAAGTCAATCGACAAATTCAGTCTTTTGAGAGTATTGAAACCTTCTTTAAGTGCTAGTATTGACAGGAATGAAATTGTGCCATCTTCAAATCTACAAATTCGTAATTATTAGCAGGTTATTTTATATATAATTACATGCATTTAGTCAAAGATTATAATAGTGTTTTGGTTCCAAACTAAAAATGCGAAATCTGCGAAAGTACCGATTGGTGTAAAATTTTGTAATTATATTAAGAATATCTTGTAGATGGTAAAACGCTAACCAAAATTTGTCTAATCATCCCCACCACTAATATGACGATGTCACTTCAAAATTGTAAATAGTAAAGCAAAGTCAATGGTACCTCTCGTGGATAATCTCTCTCATCACAGCAACATTTTCAAGTGTTTGAGCCATCAAAACCGTACCACCTCCATAATACCGTTTTTTCAGAGAATCACAGCTAGAATTCCTCACTAATAAAGCTCCCAAACCAGTTGGATATCCAAAAATTTTATAAAACGAAATAGTAACAAAATCTGGTTTAATTGTTGACAAATCCAATTCGTTTGTGGAAGCATAACAAGCCGCATCTAATAGCACAAACCAGTTTCGGCAACTCGTTTTTAAAATCGGATTTAGTGCCCCTTTTTTCACGTAGTCAATCCACGCCACTGGATATTTAGTACCGGAAAAATTGCTCTGCGCGGGAAATACAAACAGAGAATTACAGTTATCTTTTCCATTGTCGTTCTTGACATCTCCGTTTAGTTCGCTAAGGGCATCGTTCACTTTAATGCAACAAGTGTCTTTAGCATACGCCCTCATGCCCAAAACGGAAGTATGATTGTCTTGTAAATAGGCAAAAATGCCATTTGTTTTATATGTGAAACTTTCACCAACTAATTTTAAAGCTGCAGTGGCACTGGATGTAAATATCACAGAATATTCCTGTGAGTTTGTTTTGAAATGTGTAAGAATTCTAAAAATTCGTGATCACTGGGGGGTTACATATTTATACACCAAGTACTTACTGATATCTGACTATATCCACAGCATCTTCTGTCAACTTGCTAGAAACGTTTTTAGCATGTGGATTTGCGTACAAGTTTTCAGATAATTGTTTTGCAATTTGCTGAAGTTGTTTTTCTGAATATAAAGTGGCCCCTGCATGTTCCAAGTAGTATTGATCTAAAAACGACTTGGATTAATAGTCGAACTGTCAAAATCTTAACCTCTAGTAGGCCCCTACTTTCACAGAATGTAAAAGTTTAGTTGAAAATATCACGTGTTAAATTAATTTGATTTAATTAATTATATTACTTAAAATTTGGGAGTGTAATTACCTGATAGCCTGTGGAACTCGTCGGCAATTAATTTAGTTTGCCTTGAGGAATATATATCACGATACTTGCAAAATTCGTTCATTTTATTGTTTTATTTTTGTGAAAGGTGTTTACTTATTGCAGATACGTCGAGCGTTAAATAAGTTGAACAATGTAGATAACGATTTAGAAGTAAGGATAAACAACTGATATCAGTTTCGTCATATTTACTCTTAGAGAAATTTGTTTCATAATAATAGAACCAAGAATAAAAGAAATGTTTGTCATCATGTGAAGAAAAACATCAATTATACCTACGTATATAACTATATGGCCAAGGCTATTGTACTTATGTGAAAACACGTATAGTCCAATTAGACCTAAGTACCGATTTACTTCCTATATTTCAGTATTCATAAAAATCAGGAATGGACAATAAGGAATGCCCATTTTGATAACTAATACTGACTGGAATAAGCACCCATAAAGGCATATAGATTTTTTGCGCATTTGGTGATGGAGTTTTAATCTAGCATTTACTTATTCATCAGACCACTTTATTTTTAACTATACGTACTGTGATAACCCAAACATCCCGCCTTAAACTGACATGTCAAAAAAAAAATTAAAGCCCGCGAAAAATTCAAAAATTTGGCCTTGACAGAACGTCTAATAAAAAGGAACCCTACGTTGTGTTTGTTTTTTTTTTGCGGCGGAATGCGTTCAGGTTCAGATGGAAGTGGTGGACCCCCAAGGTTGGAAAAGTACCGCTAAATAAAACACAAAATATATGGAGGGGACAAAATCGTTTATTCCTCCACTGATAAAAAAAAAGCTGCGACCACGGTGGTAGCTGCGACTAAGTTGTGACACCTCTTAATGCTCAGCTACAAAAAAACCTTGCCTAACTTTGAATGAAATCAAATCAAACGTTCTGAATCAATGTAAATATTTAAATATCACAAAATTAATAAAAACAAAGAAAAATTTTAATGAAAGTAACTGGATTACTACTGGATAAATTTAAAAGTGTGGCAGTCAACAAGAGAACAAATTTTTAATAAAAACTCTATGCAGGGACAACGGCACCAGCGCGCAATAAGAGTGTGGTGATCGAACTATATCAATTTCATTGTGGAGCACAACAAAATTATGCATAGGGGGCGTTGTAGCACGAGCGGAGTTTGGGGCTCCTGGTCGTGGCTGTTCTCCCCCCACGACGGTGATTCTACTCTATTCCATCAGCAACTCGTGGTTGGAAATCACGGCTATAAATAAGCTGACGTAACGTCATCCCGACCGTTCCCCTGACTTCTATTCTAAATCTGACAGCTCAACATGGAACCGCGCACTCCGCTTCCGCCACGTGTTATTGTGTTATTTAACGTCAATTTCAATTAAATGTTCAATTTCTATAACTCTGACATTAAACTACAACTGAACAAGTGTTAAAGTTTCTAACAACATTTAAATTCGCCTTATAATCTTGTGAAATTTGAAACAGCAAAGAATTTTTATTTGAGATTAAGATTGGACAGCAGATAATTTTATGATGGAAGCATTAATCAACAAAATATTTACAAAACAAAAACTTAGCAAAGATTTATAAAAATGAAAAGATCTGGTGTGAAGTAAAACTTGTGCAGACAAAAATTAGGCTTCAGTGGTGTAATTTTCAGCGTGGCGAGAAAATGTGTCTCGAAGATATAACTTTCACGTTGCGAGAAAAATATGTTTCGATGATGTGATGATGATATGATGATAATAACGATGATAACTGCCGAAAGGGAAAAAATTATAATCCTCTCGTACCTCAATCCACGATATTATGAATTCTACCGCATTTTCCACGGTCCCCTTTTCGCGTGGGACAACGTTAGATTAATTTAAATAACTGAAATGAGCTATTAACAATTTTGTGTGAGGAATTAAGAAGTGTTATAGTGTAACACTTAAGTATAAGCATCCAGAAATCTTATTTATAATTTTATAAACAAAGGACGAGTCATGAATAAGTAAATCTCATGAAATGTCCTAGTAAGTGCTTTATCTGAACAATCTCATGACTGTTAAATTGTGTTAGAACCAGTAACGATTAAAATCCTAACATGAACTGTGAATTTACAAACAATAAATCAAATTTAACCACGTGTTAGCGTCGGTTGAAAATTCGTTCCTGTGATGAATATGTCTGTTTTATAACAGACAGATAGGCGGAAAATGGGGAGTTTTTCGTACTCTAGGGGTTACAAAACGTCGAGGAAACTTGGAAGCGGCGATTCGTCGTAAAGGACCTAGAACGATAATTCCTCAGCATAAACTCAAGAAGTAAAAATATGTCATCATTACTTGAACGATCTCGTTAAAAAAGATACTATTTGTTCAGTCTGTTGGAACGGTGCATTGAACAATTATAGCGGACACATAACTGACAATCTAGTTTTTGTATAATTCAGTGACGTAACTAACAAACTGTTTCGTGAGTGAGGCAACTAAATAATTTAGGGAGCCTATTGTTATAAACTATGTATATGACCAGTTACCCTTTGAACAATAAAACTTGAGAAAACGTGCAATATTTTTCAAAAATTGATAAAACTGATGTAAAAGAATTCAGTATAGAGCCCGAATTTCAGCAATAATTAAAAAACACTTTTCAGTTTGATTTTTCTCGAGAATTTTGTTATGGTAACGTATTGTTAATTTTGTATTACTGGACTGAGTGAAAAAAAAAAACAACAAAAAAATTGTCTTCACTTCCAACACAAAATCGATTACGATCCATTTTGCTCATAAATGGACTCCCAGGGTTATTGTTCTACTTATAAGAATATAATTAATGTATTTTCTAGCCAAGCATTATTTTTTATACATATAAATAGGTAATCTTTACAAGCACTCTAACAGTTAAATTAAAGTGAAGTACATTTTTGTAGAATAACGAAATATATGTACATAAGTTCATCACTTTAAGATGTAAATACCGATACCGGCATATCAGAGAATGGAATTCAAGAAAATTTGTTTCAGTAATAGTAATAGTAATATAAAAGAAAACTGGGAAAAATTGTATAAAATAACATAGTCTTACACATGTAGTTTATGAATCCGTGTTGATTTTTTACCAGAGATTTACAAATGTTTGGAAAAAATCAAAATTATATAACAACAGTTTGCAATTTAACTTTGAAACTGCAAAATCGAATGCTTTGAAATTTGCAAACTTTTTAAGGTTATCGTAACCATGTAAACTGTTGTTCAAAATTTATTCGTTTACTCCCTCTCAAAATTTTGTCGACTAAATCTTACCTAAAATGTGCACGAGGCTTGTAATTTATCATTCCTCTCATAATTTTTTGGAAGTGCTTATACAGGGTTAGTCTAAAAATGAAAATGAATAAGTCAATTTATTTCCTTGATTAAACTTGAAACTCCAAAACCGAATGCTTTGAAATCTTGACACGTTTTAAGGTTATCGTAAACCTGGTAAATTTTTAATTAAATTATTTTTCTTTATCCCCCCAAAAAACTAATAACGTCGCCTTCAAATTTTGCAGAATTATTCCTATTTAAAATGTGTTTCTATACTTGTGATTTAACATGAACCATCAAGAAAACATGAAATTATTTTTTTTCAAATTCAAATTATTCAAATGCGATTTCGCGCCGTTGTTAGTTTTTTTCAGCGGGAAATTTAAAATTCAAATACGTCACAGACCACGTTTAATTCAAGTACCACCCCCACTCCGTCAGTCCGTGTCCGTCGTGATGTCCAACACATGTCCAATTGTCCATAGAATAACCCCACTATTTTGTATGATTTTCTATGGTGGTGTCTCAACAGGTGTCGCTAGTAACATTAGAAAGCTATTGTTAGGCAACCATAAAAACACGAAGTGTATATAAATATAGCCACAATGTAAACAGATCAATTTATGTTTAAAATGAAACGAAAAATCATTTAACAGCCGGGCTACTTTTTGAAAAATTAAAGTCGCCAGATAAAAAAAAAGCGATGAACGTGAGGTGACGTGAGAGTGAGATGTCAAAAAAGAAAACATTGGAGGTGTGGGAGTATTCTATGTCTATGGATGTCAAATATCAAGGATGTCAACAATCAACATGTCAAAGTGCATGGATAGTAAACACAAACACAAAACACATAATTCAAAAAATGAAATGGATAGGTACGAAGTTATTAAATTACTGGGCGAAGGATCGTTTGGTCGTGTTTATAAAGCAAAAGTAATAGCAGATTCGTCCTTTGTGGCACTAAAAGTAATATGTAAGGTAAATGTCTTCAGAAAAAGTCAGCACAGATAATTTTTAAAATAACGTTTACTAGGCTAGAAGATCAAATAAAGAAATAATAGGGCTACGTCGAGAATGCGAAATTCAACGAAACTTACACCACCCGAATATCATACAGATGTTAGATTCTTTTGAAACAGCAAGTGAGGTACTTAGCTGTTACATGAGTTATTATCCAGTTCCTTAATTAATTTATTTTAGATCGTCGTAGTAACAGAATTTGCCCAGAAAGAACTAAATAACCTACTGGGCAAAGAAGGTTATTTGTCAGAAGAGAGAGCAAGCCCCATAATATGGGACCTAGTTTCAGCTTTATTTTACTTACATTCTCATCGGGTTCTACACAGGTAGAATGATAAAATAACATTACACCTTTCATTTTATTATATTTTATTCACAGAGATTTGAAACCCCAAAACATTTTAATAGATTCAACAAGTCGAGCAAAGTTGTGTGATTTTGGCTTTGCTCGTAACATGAGTACTGGTACTCATGTTTTAACATCAATTAAAGGAACACCACTATACATGGCACCAGAGCTAATAGAGGAACAACCGTACGATTATAAAGCAGATTTGTGGTCTTTAGGTTGCATTATGTATGAATTATTAGTGGGAGCGCCACCATTTTGTACTGCTTCGATATTGCACTTGATTAGGTTAATACGTCATGAACAGATACAGTGGCCTACATTTGTTTCAGAAAATTGTATCAGTTTTTTAAAAGGCCTTTTACAGAAAGACCCGGTAAAAAGGATCACTTGGGAAGAAATTAAAAATCATAGTTTTGTCAAAGGGCATATTTTAATTTGCGGAGACTCAACTAATATGCCTTTGACGGGACCTTTGTCTGAGAGTACATTAGAGGTTAAAGAGCAGCAACGAAAGGAACAGCTGAACAATCGGAATAAGTCAAGGTGAGTTATTAACCACTCAGTATCGTTTTTTAAAATATGACTACTATTCGAGTACAAATTGGTTGACCCGTTTCCGTCTGTCAGTTTGTTGTCTATGTTGATTTTTATTAGATATTCTCCGAAATTATTGGACGTATTGTCAAATATTATATGCATTTAAGGAATATGATGTAGATAGTGAAACGCTAACTAAAATTTGTCTAATACTTCCAGTAAACAATGTGATAATGACATTTCAAAATGTTGCATAGTAATTTTTTTTTAATTTTATGAAATAACATACTTCTGTCCATGTGGTTTATGAATCTGTTGTGTTAGCAGGCTGGGGGAAAAATAAATAAGTGAACAGAATAACAATTCGTGAGAGTTGTCAATAAATACATGTTTTCTCTTAAAAAGATCTTTTACTGATAAAACATGGTGGCAGCGGTAAAAAGATCGTATATTCGTTAAAATCATACGAAGAAATAGCAGAGAAGATATAAATAGTAATTTGAAATTACATAGATCATGACTGGACCGGAAGGAACACCTAATCCGGTAAAGGTAACGCATACTCCGGTGATGGGTATGCAAGCTCATGTTAGTCCACCAGAAAAATTTACATTTTCTATGCCTAATACTTGGCCCCAATGGAGAAAGCGGTTTGAGCGATATATGTCCATATCGGGACAGAATGATAAGCTGGAAGAGGAGAAAATAAATTTATTGGTGTATATCATGGGAGAAGAATCTGAAGATATTTTATTGCAAGCTGCAGTTACACCTAAGAGTTATGCTGAGACATTACAGTGTTTTGAAAATCACTTTGTTCCAAGGAGAAATATAATTTTTGAGCGTTACAAATTTAATTCCAAAGTTCAGAAACCGGGGGAGTCAGTGGAGAGTTTCATTACTAGTCTTCATTCTCTGGCTGAAAGTTGTGACTACAGAGCACTAAAGGAAGAATTGATAAGAGATTGCATAGTGGTTGGAATGCTGGACTCCCGGACTAGTGAGCGTTTACAATTGCAAACAAATTTAACTTTATCTGATTGCGTATTGGCTGCAAAACAAGCTGAAATTCAGGCTGAGCAGAACAGAGAACTTCAAAACGACATGCGTCAGCGTCAAGTTGCAAAACTGTCAGTTGAGACAAGAAATGCTAACAATGGTAGCAGTACGGGTGATATGAAGAAACAAAACTCGTTTCAGAATAAGTCTTTGAAGTATCAGTGTGATAAGCGCTGTCCTTTTTGCGGTCTGCAACCTCATTCCAGAGATAAGTGTCCTGCTAATGGAGTAGTTTGTCGAAAATGCAAGAAAAAGGGACATTTTGCTAGAGTATGTAGGAGTGTTATGATTAAATCTTTGGAGTTACTTTCTGAAGAGGAAGACGTAGATCTTGTAGGGACGATTTATTTAAACCAAATTAATACTCAAGAATGGATCGCCTCCTTATTTGTTTCAGGGTTAAACAGAGTTATTGAGTTTCTGGTAGATACTGGTGCTGACGTTTCTTGCCTACCCTTTCATTATGTGCCCGAGAATCTATTGTATAAAATACTAAGTCAAATAAAATTATTTCTGGCCCGTCTGGGATTAAGCTGGGGGTTGTCGGTACTATGTCTGTTAATTTGATCCAAGGGGACAAACTGTTTAAGACAGAGTTGTTTATTATTAAAAATTTGACAAAACCTATTCTAGGGAGGACTGGGATTATTAATTTAAATATTATTCAGTTTAAAAATAATGATGGCTTATTAAATTTAAATACTGTAGCTAATAATAGTTCATTAAAAGAAATTGTTTCGGAAAAGTTTCCAGGAATCTTTAGTAATATCGGAACGTTTAAAACTGAAATGGAGATAAAAGTAAAAGAAGGTGTTCAACCTTATGTACAATCTGTACCGCGTATAGTACCCCTCGCCTTATTAGATTCACTAAAATTGGAATTAGAACGATTACAAAAATTAAATATAATAGAACCTGTTGATTATTATACTCCTTGGGTCAGTCCAATTGTAGTTGTGAAGAAAGGTGAAAAAATTAGATTGTGTGTGGATTACACCCGTTTAAATACAGCTGTTCTGCGTTCTTATTTCCCAATAAACAAGGTAGAATTAATCTTAGCTAGGTTAAAAGGGGCAGTTTATTTTAGTAAGCTGGACACTACATCAGGCTTCCATCAAATCAAATTAAGTAAAAATTGTCAAGATTTAACAACTTTTATAACCCCTTTTGGTCGATTTTTATTTAAGAGACTTCCGTTTGGGATTTCTTGTGCCCCAGAATATTTTTCGATCTTGTTAACTAAAATTCTAATTGGAATAGAAGGTGTAATTAGTCATATTGATGATATTTTGATTTTTGCTGCGACTATTGAAGAACATGATAAAATATTAAACGAAGTTCTTTCTCGAATAGCTGCTGAAGGGATTACATTAAATAAAGATAAATGTGTATTTAGAGTTAAATCCTTGCAATTTTTAGGTCATCAAATTTCTGACAAAGGTATTTCTATTGATCCAGATAGAATTTCTTCAATCAATAAGTATCCAGAACCCACAAACAAAAAAAAATTGTTACAATTTTTGGGAATTATTAATTTTTCTAGTCGCTTTATTCCTAATCGTTCAGAGATTTTAGAGCCACTAACTTCGTTGTTAAAGAAAAATGTAACTTTTATGTGGGGTGTTTCTCAAAAAGAATCGTTTGAGACAGTTAAACACTTATTACAGATTAGTCCTTGTTTAGCATATTTTGATCCTTCTAAGAAGATTTTTATTTCTGCAGATGCTTCGTCGTATGGTTTGGGTGCATGTCTCATGCAATGTAATGAAAACAAAAAAGAAATTATTGCCTATGCTTCTACTAGATTACTCTCACCTACTGAAAAAAGATATGCTCAGATTGAACGCGAAGCACTTGCATTAACTTGGGCAGCAGAAAAATTTCGAGAATATATCACCGGAATACGAATAACTTTTGAAACGGATCACAAACCATTAACTCAAGTTTTACAAACAAAACCCATAGATGACTTAACACCTCGTTTACAGCGTTTCAGAATTAGATTAATGAGGTTTGATTATGAAATTTATTATGTACCAGGAAAAAATCTAATAGTAGCTGATGCGTTATCAAGAAATTTTTCAGGAGATTCGCGTAGTCCAGAGGATGACGAGTTGGCTCATGAAACGGAGGCACATGTTAATTTGATAGTACAATCTGTTCAAGTAAAACCATACTTTATTGAGGAAATTAAACAAGAACAGGCCAAAGACTCTATAGGGGCAATTCTGAATGAAACCTGTTAAAATTTAAAGGTTGTTAAAAATCAAGTTTTTTGTCGGATGTGTATATTAATTGGTATTCCGGATCCCGATAAATTAACACCATGTTAAAATTGATATATTTTTATCGGATCCGTTTAAATTTTCGGATGACTTCGTTAATTTGGTTTAAACGAACTACCCAGTGTGCTTCGTGGCCTATTTTAGGTTCAAGATGCCTTGACTTTACTATCATAAATTCAAATTTTGTTGGAATTGAGCTTCTTAAACATAAAATCTGGTATAGAAAAATTATAATATAAAATTAAGGAGCAGACGGAGACGGACCGAGACCAAGTGGTACGTGTTCAACGGTGATCACAATTTGTGAGGTTAGGAGTGCAATTAGTGAATCAAAACATTCAAAACAAATCCAAGTTTATTCTGGATTCTTGGATAATTTATAATTTGGCATCAATTACTATATTTAACTACAGGAAGATAACTACTAAGAATATAAGAAATTAACTCCACGGTAAGTTTATACTCAAGTAAACTGAAGAAAAAGGTATTGGTTTTAGGTTATGAAATTTTATCATCCGATTTGATGTTCATATTGAACAACACATAATAGTTATGTATGTGTTCAGTCATGTGATTGCTTTTCTGAAATTAGCTGAAAATGATACGTTTCCAAAAAAATCCAGTCTCCTGAGGGAGAAGTGTTACTTTTTATTAAAAACGCACCAAATGATAACTTTTTATTACTTGCATAAAGTTGCTTCAGTAATGGGTGCTTTTTGTGGTTTAATGCGGGAGGAACTGGCCAAGCTGCGCATCAACAACATTGAAGACAGATGATTTGTTTCAGTGGTCGAAATAGCAGACTGGTGCCTCGAAAAGCTTCACAATCATAAAAGAGTACAGTATAGGAGCGTCAAATTTAGTTAAGTAATTGAAAATTGTATTTTTTACTTGGGAAATGAGAATAGAAATTATTTTCGTTATGTTTTTATGTAGGTATGAAATGTTTGTAAATTGTTAATTAAAATAAATTATTTTCCAAATGTAGTTATGTTGTTTTTAATAACCATAAAAATTAACTTGCAATTTGCGGGCAATTATCATTTGGAGCATTACGAGGGTGCTAATTGCTACCATTTCCAAGGTATTATCGTTCAGTAATTGACAGGTGAAAAATAAATTAATCAACGGGCCTCACTTTTTTGCTGATGATTTATTAATAACTACTTACATTCTTTGTAAATTCTCTTCATAATTTACTACAAATAAATGCAAAATACCGTCCAGGTACGCCATTATTGTTTTTTTTTTGTTAATTAAAGGGTACTAGCGAGGGATCCTTTAAAACTGTCACTTTTAACGGATTCATTTAAACACCCTTGTTAAAATTTAACATCAATTTGATGTTTTAGAATAGTAAATTTTGATTTTGTCGGATGTTTAATTTTAAAGGGTATTAAAATTAAACGGACTTCAAAATTAAACAGTACAGAAAAGAGATTCATTTTTAACAACCTTTAAAATTTTAACAACCTTTAAATTTTAACAGGTTTCATTCAGAATTGCCCCTTAAATGTCAAACGTTAAAGGATTATTCTATAACTGGGTGGCCTGCTAAGACTAAATTAGAGGAGAATATACGTCCTTACTACCAATATCGATTTGAAATTTCTTTTGTCCACGATATATTGTTGCGAAATAATAGAATAATTATTCCTAGTTCTTTGCAGTTGAGGTGTTTAGAATTTTTACATCGCGGACATCAGGGGATTGTTAAATGTCGCGCACGAGCGAAAACGTCTGTGTGGTGGTTAGGTCTTTCTTCACAGATTGAAAATTTAATTAGAAATTGCCCTGAATGTGTGGAACATAAAATTAATTTTAAAGAACCTTTCTTAAAGGATTCATTTCCCGAACGTCCGTGGCAAAAAATTGCACTAGATTTGTTTAAAATTGATAGTTGGTACTTAATAGTGACTGTTTATTACTCAAGATTCTTTGAAATATTCAAATTAAATAAAATGACAGAATCCATCATTATTGCTAAACTGAAGACATTATTCAGTCGCTTTGGCATTCCTGAAATTGTAAGGTCAGATAATGGTCCACAATTCCAAAGTGAATTTAAAAAATTTGCTTATGATTATGATTTCCATCACATTACTAGTAGTCCTTACTTTCCTCAGTCTAATGGTTGCATTGAAGCGGCTGTAAAAATAGCCAAGAGTCTTATTAAAAAAAATCCTGGTGGTTTAGATTTAGCTTTATTGGCTTATCGTACTACACCATTAGAGTGCGGATATAGTCCTTCCGAACTTCTCATGAATAGGAAACTACGGTCAAATTTGCCTATTTTGCCAAGTCAATTAAATAAAGCTGTTAACGCTAAACTTGTTTTTAAAAGGGAGGATAAGGCTAAAGATAAAAGTATTGACCAGTTTAATAGAAGACATAGGGCCCGAAATTTATCAGAACTGAAACAAGGGGACAGTGTTTGGGTAATTGACTTACGAATATATGGGAAAATAATAGAGGTCTTAAGAGAACCACGGTCATACATGGTGGAAACTAATTTTGGAATCTATCGGCGCAACCGATATCATTTAGTTCCAGCTCCTTATTATATTTTACCACCTCCGCTCATTTCGACATTGCCTCAGCCTCAGCCTTCTGAAAATAGTGTCAACATTGATTCAAAATTAATGAATAAAAGTTCCAGAGAAGTCAGCACCAATATCACTACAGGAATTCATAATTCATCTGATAATGTTGTGTCGTCACCTCCATGGTCTGTTCCTCCTCTGCGGCGGTCAACTAGGAATTCAAAGAGGCCTGCTTATTTGAAAGACTACGTAACCTAGCTTAAAAGGGGGGGATGTTGTGTTAGCAGGCTGGGGGAAAAATAAATAAGTGAACAGAATAACAATTCGTGAGAGTTGTCAATAAATACATGTTTTCTCTTAAAAAGATCTTTTACTGATAAAACAGAATCCGTCTTGATTTTTTACCCTAAACATCCAGATTTTTGGAGAAAAAAGGAAAAAATATATAACATTTTATAATTTAACTTTCAAAAGGTTTTGTATCAAATTAACAATGTCACTGTCAAGTTTTGACAAAACAGTGTTGTACGTCACTTTGGAAAATGGCATAGTTAACAATTTGGATTTTGCAAAGGACCGGGAAGAATGCGTTTAAATCAAGGTATAAACTTAGGGTTAGCCTTAGTATCACAAACGGAATACCCATCACTCTAGGTAGCGCGGGCATAACAGGCGTGCCTCTGCCCGATCGGGTCTTCAATAATAATAAAAAATGCACTATGCTTTTGTTATAAATTAAATAATAAATTTTACGCCTGAAGATAAGCGAAGAAAAATGTTGCTGCCCCGGTGGGAATCGAACCACACATCTCCCACTTGCCGGGCGGGTGCCTTGACCACTAGGCCACAGAGCGACTTATCTTCCTTCGCTTACCAACCTATTATTGTGCCGCGACACGCCAATTACCAGCATAATTAATCAATGCTTGTTTCTTATATATTTACTTTATTGCATCGAAATAAATTCTACTATTCATGATTTTTTTAGGTCACTAAATCATCATAGTGGCGAACACGTGAACATGGCCAAAATACCTCAAATGAATAACGTCAGCGGAAGCAAAAGCAACAAAAGCGATTCTCAAGATACAAAAAACAATAATATAATTTTAAACGAATTTGGTAAGCTTTCGATAGAAGACGACCATAATTTAGCACGAAACAGCAGTCAGCGTACCGATAAACCAAATTTTATAGAGGAGAATCATCCCATTGAAACAGAAGAATGGATAGTATTTCTTCAAAAATCTATGGAAGAAGTGATGTGTGGAGATTTGACATCGTTGACACAACCAAGTTTGACGAACATAATTGTATCACCACTACGCAACACCAATACAAGTTCGAAAGTTCTGAATTATGTTACTAAACTGCTGTCAATATCGTTTGTTTTAAAAAGTGTTTCCCAAGATAGCAAAGACCGTATAAAGAAGGTTTACCTCGACGTTAAGTTAGTTCCAAATCTGGTTTATTCTTCCAAACAAATAATGAAAATTAAGAGTGAAAACAGTTCTAGTTCGTCAGTTTCGCTGCCAAATACGCCGCTTCCTCATCGAGATATCTACAGAAGCGTTAGCGATCTGACAGACGTGGATATTCAGTCTTTAGAGTACATCTACACGCTAATTACTCATTTGGTACATCTTGATAATGAATTCTTACTACAGTTGTGTGATTCACTTGCTGTTTTGAATGTTTTCGCCATTTTGAGATCCTTTTTAATAGTCTGCAAAAGCAGGGTACAAATCATAATGGATTTGCTAGCAATTTTTACTCACATTTTACGAGTTTTCCCCGAGAACGTTGAACTGATCGAGAAAATTATACTGAATGAAACTGTTGAAGATTCTGCAGTTAATTTCGTCGAATTACTAAGATATAATCACCCAGTGATGCAGGAACGAGCCTGTCTCTTTTTACAATACTTAGGGAAATATTTGACCACCAATAAAATAGAAACGTTATGGAATGAGATAGTAAGAGAAACTTTAGAAGCGCTGATGTATGATTCCAACGAAAATGTCAGAAATGTAAGTATTTTTCATCGAAGTTCATTTAAATTATTATATGTTTATTTTTATAGGCTGCAGATAAAACTGTAGATGAGCTGAAATATAAAGAATTTTATAAACAGAAAAGCGTAAATATTATTTAATTTTTTGAGCATGATTTTTAGATTGAAATGTATCTTAATTTTGCATTGAAGTCACTAAAATCAGCCGAGTTTCAAGGTTGTCAAATACGCGCAAGGGATTACTCATGTTACTACTTAAGTTAAATCTTCCTAAACGGTATTTGACCTTGAAATTGCTGTTTCTTGAGTCGATAAAAAAGTGAGTGCAACGACAGTTCTTTTTAATAAGTTCTGTATTTTCCGAAATGTAAGTCTTTTATTTTTATTTTTTAGATATTGATTAATAATTGTAAATAATAAAAAAACACTATTTTGAGGTTATGTTTATTGTTATATTTTTTCGTAATTTTGTGTAACCGGTCTTTCGTTTGTTCAGTTGCATAATTTTCACAAAAATATAAGTAATTGAACAGTTGTCAATCTTTTATTGAGTGAATTTGTTATAAATAAAGTGTTGCAAATTTTAGTGAAGTATTAAACTTATGATTTTTTTTACAAGAGATTTTCTTATTAAATGGTTTTAAATTTTAATGTTAAAAACAACTCACTTAAATTCTTTGTGAATAAAAAAACTAATTAATATTGAACAGATACAAGGCAAGCTAACAATATGAAATTGTCTAGGAATTTAAGCAAGCTTAGCGAACACTCACAGTTTGTTTTACAGCGTTCGCTGTAACTAATTCTGAGAAACATTTTTTGCGCTGCTTTTTTTATTCAACCTTGATTCATATGTTTTCTTCCTTGGGACTTCCATATGAACACTTTATTAAAAATCGAAAGTTGTTATTTGTCATCGACTATTTAAATTTGGCGCCTGTCTTTGGCGGTTGAGGACTCCAATATCAATAAGGGTGATTTTGTCAAATCGGCCCGTATGACGCATCCGTGTTAATCTATGGCAGTACAATGTTCTCTGGCAGTACTATCAGGAGGCGTTAAGTATACCGACAAATACCGATTTTCCCATGTTGTTCAGCATACTTTAAAATAAAGAGTATATGCAACCTACAATACTGTCAAAAAATTGAAAGCATATGACTGTGGCATATATATGTCTAAAAAAAACCATGCTGGCAGATGGCAGACGGCAGAGACCGAGAGGGGTCATGAAACATCACGAAACACTAAAATAGTTAGTCATTTGATGGATTCGATTATAATACATCCTTCGCTTACGTTTGGAAAGTAAAAAAAAATTAAAAAACTTTCGGCGTCACGAAATTATGACTTCAATTCCTACTCCAAAGCCACCTTAGTATCAATAAAATCAATGTATATTTTACAATGTCCGTACTTGTGTAGAGACGGTTTATACGCATGATACAATAAATACTAGGTATGATATTGCGCACGTACGGAGTGGGGGAGTGACGTCACTCGGTGAGTAAACACAGGCATTTCGCCCGTATTCTGCGACGTTTTTCTGTCTTCCACGTATTTTTTAGAAGGTTTAGTGGCTATACGTTATGTTTTAATAATTTTATAAAGTCACAACGATGCGTTGTGGCGTTTTTGGGTGTAATAGGGATAAACAAGACATTTTCAAAAAGACGTACAATTTTATTCATTTCCAAGGGACAAGTATGGGTTATTTCTTGTTGTCGTTCGGACTCTTTTATAGTAAAAAATGCAAGAGTGTGTTCACAGCATTTTAGTGAAGACGATTTCGAACGAAATTTGCAACACGAACTTTTGAATTATCTTCCTAAAAAAGGAAAAAAAAAAACAAAGTCTGGAGATCAGCCAAGTTAGTTAAAGAAATTTGTTCTAGGGATAAAATCACAGAAATTAACTAGGTATATTATTTTACTTGAATATTGACATAAATCAAACATATTCAATTACAAAAAATGTTTTCAAAGAACATCTTATATAGGACTCTTTTTTAGCAAATATTTAATATTTTCATTTACTTATTTTATAGCACTGAAACCAATAACGCAAGTGCTGCTTTGGATGATAAAACAGAATCTACAAGTAAATCTGTTGGGTATATTGAACATTATTTATTGTATTTACTCAAGGAAAGTGCTTTTTTTGAAGAATAACTTTTATGTTTGCACGGTTTTTTTTTTGCATGATGTATATTTCTTTATCAAGGGAAACGATTATTTGAAGACGTAGTATATCCAATATTTAATTATGTTTTTTTACATAGTACAAATACAGATCAAGATATACAGAGAGAAGATCTAGGAGCAAAAATTGCTTATCTTAAAAACAAACGACGAACTTGCAAAAGAAAATCAAGCTATGAAAACAATTTTCACTCCAAGAAATATTGTTAATTAACATGTAGATTACAGTTCAATAGTACAATGTATTTATTTTTACTGGTTACTTTTTCTTGTACTCAGTTTTTGAAAGTTTAGAACAGAATTTCTAAAGTAGATTTCTATTTAAGAAAATTATGTTCACGTAAATGTGCACAATTACCATAACAACGAGTCTGTTCATGATAATCAAATTAATAAAAACCTAAAAAAGCAAAAAATGGATAATTCTGAAGATCTTGGCATTTTCAGATAACCTGTGCGCTACTAACCAGAAAAATAGCACTTTTTTATAATTATCTCCAAATTAAAGCCGCACTTTTCTACTGAGTACACGAAAAATAATATTAAACGCGAAATTTTAATTTGTTACACACAATAGAAATACGTATCAAACTCCGTTAAATTCGTTTTTACAATTTAAATTCAGGTAATTGACGTAAATTTAGTTATCAGGTTGTTTAATGCAGCATTATAATTATTATATTATAATATAGAGATTGTACAACACATTTTTTTAAATACATAACGAATTATAACAGTAAAATTAAAAAATATTAGCGATTCTTCGTGCTTTTATGCTGAAATTCCACTAGTTCTGCTCACCGAGTGACGTCACTGCGCGAACTGGTTTCATTTTGAGCCGCACGAGTATCATACCTAGAGAATTATTATATCATGGTTTATACGTATATGCTTGTGATGCTGGACTATCAGGCCCCCGAAGTTACGGGACCCCTTCTGGCCTAAATGTAACGAAAAATAATTTAAATTTAAAATAAAATTTATTTGTTTTTAATTTGATTATTACAAAAATACCATTTCATCTTCGACGGACCGTTCGTTGACACATGATTTCGAGGTTGTGCAAAATGCATAATTGGCCACTTCCGGGCGTTCCACTAATTTATGACTTGCAGCTAGGCAGCCACCTGCACAAAGAGCTGCCGACATAATACGTTATTATTAGTATTACAGTACCAATCTAAGTTGAAATACGTGTTCTCACCAAAAATGATGATTGACGTTATCACAAAATTTATGACATATGGTTATTTCAACTTAGGGGTTCCCAAAAAATATAAAATCCGCATAATCAAAGTTTATAATTTTTCGAAAATGCTGATATGTTTCATTGTACTTCAAGAGCGAGGGAACTTTGGACCAATTTTTCAGACTAGTAAAACAAATAACTATTGGTTCATACAAGCCAGATAAACCATGACTGATACAGTAATACAGTGAGACAAGTGAGACAGAGATAATATGTTGATTGCGTGTTACGACAAATACTGTGATTGTGTAAATTAAATCTTGAATTAAATCCAGAACTCAAATCTTTGGTCGTGAATATGCAAGAAATCGGCTGTTCCCAGAATCAGCATTACAGTCACAAGCTGTAAATAAGGTAAGAAATCCTTTCCTTCTTTAAACTCAGTGCCCCCTTATTCAAGCTTCGTATTCATTCTCAGTCGACAAATCAGCAGCACAAATCAATTCTAATCATTTTATGTACGCGACAAGGGTTTTGGCATCGTTCGCTCACATAACCATAGTACTGACACGTTACAGGTAACAACGTTGTGTATGGTATGTTGATGAATATTAATAGTTATTTATGTCTTAAGGGCATTAAGTATTTAGGAGAATTAGGAGATGTTTAAAGTACGACGAAGGAGGGCTTTTAATTTCTCGAGGGCATAATCGACAATAACGTTTAATTCTATTTTAGTTTCTAAAATATTTTTAACAAAATATTGAGTAGGTATTTCCGGCAAGATTGTGTGAATTGTCCCGATGCGAACTTTAATATATAGCTGGCTATTTTGATGTTGTTGTGGATACTGCGTTAATTATTTATTAAATAATTCGTTTTTCAAAATACAAATTGACGAAGCGGAAGACGCTTATTGATAAGATGACATACTTGTCTGAAATGGTAAGTACCTAAGTGTATTTAAAATTATTATATTAATAAACTGTGCTACGTTTATTATAATCAAAAGTTTGCAAACCTCCATCAGTGTGGTGTACCTACTCTAAGCTCAAAAAAATGCTAAAAATTAAAGAAAACCTTGATATCCCGAAATTTCTTCTGGTTAATGAAAATATGAAGAGCATGTGGATGATGAACCTAGGAAGTCTTAAGTAATTTAACGAAAGGAAATTAAAGAGTTTATCTTACATATTTGTTAGCCGAGGTAAAACCTGTTCTTTAGTTCTAATATTTCTTAATTAATTAATTTCTCTACAAGCATTTTCAAGACGTGTAAAACAAAATTTTGTCCACAAATGTCTAATATGAAAATCGTATTGATATTTAGATAGCTTTAGAGTTGGGATTGAAAAGTCATAATTTCGTGACGCCGTAAGTTTTTTGACTTTTTTTTCCTCCCAAACGTAAGCTAAGGAAGTATTCTAATCGAGTCCATCAAATGACTGACTACTTTCATGTTTCTCGACGTTTCATGACCTCTGTCTGTCTGTCTGCCGTCTGCCATCTGTCCGCATTTGTGTCGATTTTTATTAGACAGGCAATATAAGGGGCAATTCTGTAAAAACTATCCAACTGTAAATAAGATTTAATGAAACAGGTCCTAGAATGTCCAGTAATTTTAGTTATTTGATGCTCTCCCACACCAAATATGAAACCACAGTAGAATGGTTGGAATGATTAGTGAGTTTACTTTTTTTTTGTATCCAGTCCTATTTGGTGAGCTTCAATTTTTAAAAAATTCAAGAGAATTAATATTATTACTATTTAT